GATACTTGATTGAAGAAAAAGTCACAAAAATTGATGGCAAGAAAGTTGAACAGCTGGAATTGAAGGTGCTAACCTCATATTATTTATAACCAGTTCAAAGTTCAAACAATTATATTGATTTTATATTGTACACATTATTCTGATAAAACTTATATTATGTATTAAATTTATTTTTATTCAGGTATTAAAAGTTCATATGGATGTTAATGGAAAAGAATATGAACGCACTGTAGAGACTGTGGCATTCAAAGAATCTCGTTTGGCAAGGACAGATGTCACAAGATATTGCGGTCATGGTATGCAAGATGCTTACAAGCATTCTGTTAAATTCAGTTTGAAGACTTAAAAGTCAATTTTTTTTAAACTTTAGGGGATGAAAAACCAAGAAGATGGCTCGGACCAGAATTACCTGAAGAACATTTTTATGGCCACAAGCATGTGAGTTCCTCTAAAAATTTAGCATCTGTGTATTAGTGATATAAAGGGGAAATGTATTTTTAATTCTTTAGAAACACCAAAGTTGGCATTCACGATTCGACAAGTTACCACTTGGTGCAAGAATTGCTATTTTTGTTGCTTTCATCGTCTTCATTTTAATATTTGTGGGGAGTTTCACAATGTTCTGTTGTCGCAAGAAATCTACAACCTGTAATGTTGGTAAAGAAGATGATTTCAAACCTGATTTGAATGCAGAGGATGAAGCTGAGCCTTTACCTGAAAATTTGTCATTTGATGACAAGGAAGTAGTTATTGCTTAATTTCAACCAATGTAAATGCATCAAGAAAAATTTTTAATCTCGTTCATGTAACATTACTTAAGCTACATAGTCCCATTTCTTGGAACATTACATACGTATTTAATATTTAGGCTGTATTTCGTTGCATTTACCTAATTATTATTCTCTTAACTTGAAACATTATAATTTAAGTGTGATATCGCAGTTTTCTCATTAAAATCAATATGTCTCAAAAATTTGTCTACTTTCATTGCAAGAACTACAAAATGTTGTGCAATTTGAATTGTATTGATAATTCTTTCCTCTCGACTAAGAGCTACCAAGCAGGAGCTTTTCGTCATCGTCTACGGCAATAGGAATGTTTAATTTACAACCCATAAAACAAAAACAAATTTCTGCTGCGCCCCTCCGTCAAAATGACGACACGCGAGTTATGATGACACTGCAAATAATACTCGCTCCAGATGAGTGTAGATCTATTATAGATCAACGTTCAGTTGTTGCATCATCCAGGTAAAATGTTTCATGGTTGAAGTCGAACAGTTCGCAAACTTTGCTGAGTCATACTGACTGTGTAAAATCATCTTTTTGAAGCACAATGAGTGCAGATGGAAATCTTTTAAAGCAAGATCTAACAACATTAGTAAGTTGGATCTGCCATTCAACTAAGAAAGATGTATATTTTACGAAATAAACACGATGGCTTGGCTGGATTAGTTTGTTGTCGATGGCAGTCGATGCTCAGATGAAAAAGAATTTTAATGGTTTAACAATGTAGTATGTTTATCGCCACTTTTTTATCTTTTCATATAGAACGTGAATGAACTTTCTCCATTAACTCCAGAAGTAATCAGCAGACAAGCAACAATAAATATTGGTTCGTTTTACATCATCATGTCCATAGTTAGTATTTAGTATTGAAGTTTGGGATATGAAAGATTGGAATTGTTTTCTTCAGGAACAATTGGTCATGTGGCTCATGGCAAATCTACCGTTGTGAAAGCACTATCTGGTGTTCAAGTAAATATATTGTCGATGCAGTATGATGTATTGACTACGTTGTCATATTTTCATTTGTAATTTTCAGACTGTTAGATTTAAAAATGAACTCGAAAGAAACATCACTATCAAACTTGGATACGCCAATGCAAAGGTATGTGGTTTTTCATTATATTTCGAAAACTCCTACTTGTATTGCGTATAAAACAAATGTTTTATAGATCTTTAAATGCTCTAATGCCAACTGCCCACGACCAAGTTGTTATCGGTCAGCTGGTAGTGCAAGCAGCAACACACTACAATGTGAAAGATCGGGTTGTTCAGGGAAAATGCAACTTGTGAGGTACATTATTGTTTAGCAATTGAAAATATTTAATGCGTTGCAAATCAACATGTTGCATTTATCAGGATGTGATACACTCTTAATGACTTGTGATGCACTCTTAATGACTTGTGATGCACTAAATTTGCACAGTAAAATGAAAAAAATTCAATACACAAAGTTAGATGACTTAGCTTTTTGAAATAGATTTTAAAATCTTTTCAACATTCCATAATTGTATTTCATTTTCATGTCTGATACACTATTGTAACTTTGAACCAATGAAAGCACAAATTTTCAGTTCAACTTGCCACCATGACTTATAAAAAACCATCTTTATATGTAAAAAAATATTTACAGAACAATAGAATTGCATCCATTGCCCATTGCAAATGCGAAGCATGAAATTCTTTCAAGCATTTTTATTTCTTGTTGTGGGTTGATTTCTGCTCAATCATGCAAATTCTTAACATCAAGTGATTTCAAGAGGAATTTGTTCTTCATATGCACCCTGTAGTTACAAACAATAAGACATAATACTTTATCATTCATCAATTATAATATATATTACACTTTGTCATATGTGTGTTTTTAGTTACATATGCTAGTGTCAAATGGAACAAGATATCACTTTTGAGGGTTTTTGAGCTGGGGGTATAATGTTTTTCACTAAAATTGCAACGCATGTTTTCATCTTTAATTTTCACCGTGATTTGATTTTGTCATTATCAAGTTGGACCATAAGTTTCAGTTTTACTATTAAACCTTAAATTATCTACAGCTTTTCATCTTTCTGACGTGATATTTCTATATTCTGCACATAAGTTGTGACTTCTTTACAATTAATGATAAAAAATTAATGAGATATTTTATGTAGGCATGTGTCATTTGTTGACTGTCCTGGTCATGATATTCTTATGGCAACAATGTTGAATGGAGCAGCTGTAATGGATGCCGCTCTTACTTATTGGTAATGTAGTTACTTGTTTTCCAAAACACATTTCTTTAAAATCAACTTTTATATATTCATATTTTCAATATGTTTCAGCTGGGAATGAGTCATGTCCACAACCACAGACATCAGAACATTTGGCTGCAATTGAAATAATGAAGTTGAAGCATATAATTATACTACAGAACAAAATTGATCTTGTTCGAGAAAATCAGGCCAAGGAACAATATCAACAGATAAAGAAATTTGTTGAAGGTGATGTATTACATCATCTTTTTTAACTTATCCATATTCATGCATTTCATTGAACATCATTTATTTTTCTATTTCAGGAACAATAGCTGAAGGAGCTCCAGTTGTTCCAATTTCTGCACAGTTAAAGTACAATATTGAGGTCATTTGTGAGTACATTTGCAAGAAAATTCCAATTCCTTTGCGAGATTTTACATCCCAGCCCAGACTTATTGGTAAGTAACCTAAAATACAATTCATATATATGCATGAGTGTCTTAACAGATAATTGTTACTGGTTGCTTTGAAACTCACAATGTTTATACTATGCTTCATAGTTACTTTTGTCTTTGAAATGTGTGTTTAGCTGGATTGAACATGGGAGTTCAATCAGTTCTTTCGATTGATTTATTTTGTGTCCTTTCTTTTTAGTCATACGCTCTTTTGATGTAAACAAACCTGGATGTGAAGTTAACGATTTGAAAGGAGGAGTAGCTGGAGGTAGCATTCTTCGTGTGTGCTGAAGGTACTGAAACTTGTTTTGTATTAATAAAACCTTTTACTGAAGTGATTTCTTCTTTTCTTGTGAGTTTGATTCTGAAAATATTTCACTTCATTCACAGGTTGGTCAGGTCATTGAAGTGCCCTGGAATTGTTTCAAAGGATGAAAAAGGAAGCTTCGTGGGAACCAATATGTTCTGTGATTGTTTCTTTATTTGCTGAACAAAATGATCTTCAGTATGCAGTACCTGGAGGTCTTATCGGTATGGTTTACCAGTGAATTTTTTTTGTTCTGTCTGATGTACTTGTTTGATACATATAACCTTGTCACAATTATCCAGGTGTTGGAACAAAAATTGACCCAACTCTGTGTAGAGCTGATAGAATGGTTGGCCATGTAAGGATGATAATCATTGTTAGTGAACTTGTGTTTAAACACTAGTATATTATGTTTAATCTGTTAAAAAGGTTCTTGGTGCAGCGGATGCCTTGCCTGAAATCTACACCGAGCTTGAGATCAGTTATTTCTTATTAAGACGACTGTTGGGGGTAAGGACAGAAGGTGATAAAAAGGCAGCCAAGGTTTGTATATTCTCTCCTGTTTGATATAAATTTGAGAGCATGTCATCTCTTTGTTGTATGGATATCAACAAAAGAACTGTCATCCTTTGTTTAGGTTCAAAAGTTATCAAAGAATGAAGTCTTAATGGTGAACATTGGTTCTTTATCAACAGGTGGCCGCGTTCTTGCTGTTAAAGTTGATCTGGCAAAAATTGTGTTGACAACACCAGTTTGTACTGAGATTGGAGAAAAGATTGCTTTGAGCAGAAGAGTTGAAAACATTGGCGGTACACGATACCTTTTTTCTTCTATGGTTTAGACAAAGCAGGTTTTGATGAAACTGTTTATTTTTTAGACTTATTGGTTGGGGACAAATAAGACGTGGAATCACCATCAAGGACGGTGGACATTAAAATTTTATGTACTTTTTCTGTAAACCAAATAAATAGCTGTATATCGGAACAAAATACCTTTTTATAAGAATAACTATGTATCCTGTATTACGAGTTACTGAACAATGAACTTAATAATTATTATTGGAAGTACTTCCGTGTGTATCATAGTATTGCGTGTCATAAAGCAATTGGAGCGAAGTGTTGTGATTTCAATACAACTATATTCTTTTGTCTTCACGAACATGCGTTCACGCGCTTTGTTTTTGTCTACTGTGACACATCGTCTTCTTGTTGCCAGAAGAATGGCAATAGTAAAACCTCCTCAACAACTTTTGATTCCTTTAGAAGTAGAAGAAAGGTTGTTAATGGGTCCTGGACCGTCGAATGCACATCAGAGAGTTCTAAATGCTTGCGCGCAGCCAATTTTGGGGCATTTAGATCCGAGATTTTGTGCCATAATGGATGAAGTTAAGATGGGTTTACAATACATATGGCAGACCACAAACACTCATACATTTGCGCTTAGTGGGACTGGACATTGTGGAATAGAAGCGTCTATTATGAACATGACCGAACGTGGTGAAAAGATTTTGATCTGCGTTAACGGTATTTGGGGAGAGCGTGCGTCGGATATGGCTGAAAGAATAGGTAAAAGTGTTAGTTTATGACTTGTCCAGACTTCAATTTCTGATTTCTTATGTGGATTAAGGATGCGATGTTCGGAGAATTGAAAAGCCAATAGGACAAGTTTTCTCTCTTCAAGACTTGGAAAAGGTTGCAATTTCTGACAATTAAAGTTTTTACTTTAATAGTTACCAAACTTTGCTAATTTGTTAATTTTTAGAATAAACAATTGTCACAAACTGTAAATAATGTAATGATAAAATGTAATTATGCTTTTAACGTGTAGTTGTGTTTCTAAAGGGTATTTTGGAGAACAAACCAAAAGTTGTGTTTATAACTCATGGAGAGTCATCTGGAACAACTTGTCAGCCACTGGAAGGTTTTGGAAAGCTGTGTCAAAAGTAAACAATTGTGAGTTAGATAGCATGTAGAAGTGACAAAAAAATATACACTTATTCTTTCTTTATAGGAACGATTGTATACTAATTGTGGATAGTGTTGCATCACTTGGTGGGTCACCACTAAATATTGATGATCTTCAGATTGATGTTGCCTATAGTGGTTCACAAAAATGCCTAAGTGCTCCACCAGGCTTGAGTCCAATATCACTTAGCCCTAGAGCATGGTACGATGTTGTTAACATGAGAATTATTTATATTTGTCCCCAAATTTTTTCTTCATATTTTGATGTACATTAGGAAGAAATTATTATCAAGGAAAACCAAGGTTCCTTCATTTTACTTTGATTTCAATATGATTGCAAATTATTGGGGATGTGATGATGAACCACGAAAGTAAGCTATTTCATTATATGTTTTGATTAAATGTCTATTAAGTATTATGAGCAGAGATTATTGTAAATCGAAAAGGTTTCTATTAAGCAAAACAACAAGTACATATTTTGGATGTGTACAAATGTGCCATAAATATCTGCACAGTTCCCCCGACAGCAACAATTTACAAAATTCATATAATTATAATGATAATAATTGCAAAGTGTTCCATCTTTTAACCCCACAGAAATTGCTTATTTTATGCTGAAATGTTCCCATAAATCCTTCAGATACCATCATACTGGACCCATCAATTCAGTATATGCTTTATGAGAAGCTCTTTCAGTAGTTGTGGCTGAGGTGAGAGTCATGCAATTTCCATCATATTTGGAATTGTTTTTTTTATAAATGTTTGGTTGTTTTAGGGACTTGAAAAGTTCATTGACAGACATCAAAATTCTTCCAAACTGCTATGTGAAGGACTTGAAAACATGGGCTTTCAAATGTTTGTTGAAAACAAGGTATCTTTTAACCTACTATTCACTTCCATTGAAATTGGGCATAAAATGAATTTTTTTCAGGATCATCGCCTTCCAACCATAGTAGGTGTCGTTGTTCCACAGGGAGTAAACTGGAAAAAAGTCTCTGCATACATTGGACAAAAGTTAGTTGTGATATGTTTGGAATAATGTCCATCTTGTATGTATCTTTTTCATTTGCATTTTTGCCATTTTTCAGGTACAAAATGGATATTTCTGGAGGTTTGGGAAAATCTGCTGGCAAGGTAACAAGAAAAATTTGCATGCTTGTTCACCATGGAAGGATATTATATTTACAAGTATTATTAAATGATATCATCTTCTAGATATGGCGAGTTGGTTTGATGGGTGTAAATAGCACTGAAGAAAATGTCAACCTTGTCCTGACAGCATTCAAAGATGCTTTAAACAATATACAATTTCAAAACCAATTATAAATTAAAATGCAATACAGTGATTTCTAGATACGTGAGTCACCGATGGTAGCTGTTGTGACAAGTTTTACTTGGTGCAATGATAGCTGGTTGTACTAACAGTCTGTTGCAGTGCTGTAGAAGTGGGAGGCGCTTGGGGAGGAACCCCCCTTCTACCTTTAAAATGGGTAATTTTTCATAATTTCATGGCTTCAGCTTCGTCAAGAGAGCCCCCCTCTGTTAAATTTAGTTCTACAGCACTGGTCTGTCGCCATTGATTTGTCCTCTCAATTTACTGAATTTAAATGAAAAAAAAAGGGAGGTCCCTGTCTCAGTGTTATAGTATAGAACGAACTTTCGACTGTAAATTTAATGTACTCACCTTTGCAGACTTTAGCCAGTTTCTTGTTTCTTTGAACAAAAAATTGCATTAAATATTTTAAATGAGGTGTTTGTGCGTATGTGCTGAATAATTATGTTTCATAAATTAAAATTAGGGTTAGAATTTCTCAAATGCCATCGGTGATCGCTGATTTGTTCCTCATTCCTCGTAGACTGTCGTAAGGGGTCGTGAATAAGTCAATTTATGTCATGTAAAGGCTGGGTCTGGGCTGCGGGCATTGTCTTCTGAGGTCGCAGGCGGTCGAAGTTAGTTGTCATTCAAAAATACAGTAAGAAACAAATACCAGTTTCGCTTTCGTTTTTTAAGAAAATGTTTCACATTTTTTCAACCAATTTTCGACATGTCTTACTACGTAACAGTAAAGTTTGATAACAAAAGTTTTTCTCTTCCTTTTCGACCAACATGGACTGTTGCTCGATTCAAGGAGTCGATTGCTCGCAATAGAAATGTCTCTCCTGGTCAAATCAGAATTATATTTGCTGGAGAGGAATTGCCCAATCACTTCACTCTACAAGTAGGTATATGAATATAATGTAAACTGTTCTGATTTTAATTGGTTGCTAGTTAGTAGTTACATCTAGTTGACATTTGTAATTCATTATTACTAATTACATCATTAGTAATCAAATTAACATTAATGACAGCATAAACACAACGTTATTTAGCAACTCATATGAACATTAATTGCTTCATTAGTAATCACATAATTATAAACATTACTATTTACATCATGAACTTTTATTTGATGGTTATTCTATAATTTTTCCCAGAATTGTCAATTGAACCACAGTGTGGTTCATGCTGTAAGAAATGAGAATGGATATCAAGATCCTACGTTAATAGAAGGAAATTCGTTGACAAATATATCACTTTCACATTATAATGAAACTCAAAGCAGTTTCTTTGTGTTTTGCAAACATTGCAATAAAGTGACACGGGGAAAGCTACGATGTAAATGTTCTCGATGTGGACAAGGATCTTTTATTCTCTTGCAGGTTGTAATTTTTTAGTTTGGTATGATTTCTTATTCACCCCACTCAAAATTTATCTTGTGATATTTCTTGTCTTAAGGGACCAAGTTGCTGGGATGACGTATTGATCAAAGAAAGAATGTCTGGTCGCTGTCAATCAAACAATGATTGCCATAACACCATAGCCGTAAGCTTTGTTGATTAACACTTGCATGATGTTGGTTTGCACTATATCAATTGGTTGCCTTTTTTTGTTTTTTAGAAATTCTATTTCAAATGTGGTGAACATCAAAGTGAAGATGAACAATCACCATTGCCAATGTTAAAGGCAAATACAAGAAATATTCCTTGTATCATTTGTGACACAGACAATGCGTATGTCAACTCTGTAATTGAAAATAATGACATAGCTCGGTGATTTTATTTGATGTTTAATTTCATCTATACCTAGGGACCTTGTGTTAGTATTTCCTTGTCAAATCCAACATACCATTTGTGTTGATTGTTTTGTGAGGTATTGTTCTGTTTACCTCAATGAAAGACGATTTATACAAACAGAAGAACACGGTTACTCTATTGCCTGCCCTGGGAATTTTGGTAAACAGTTAAACGAGTTTGTGACTTGCTGGTCTTTGGTCTCTGATGTCACACACACAATGTTAATAATTGTAATCTTTTACAGATGATTGTCAAACTGCTTTCATCAAAGACCCACATCATTTCAGATTAATGGGCGATGACCAGGTAAATGTTAAATGGTGTGATGTTCAGTGTGCAAATTAGTTCGGAAAAAATGATGTGCAATTTTTTTGACAAAAGTGTTTCTTTAGAGGCATAATCAAATCGATATTATGTTAATTATTTTACATCGCTAATTGCTAAATTAATATTTTTAAACGTGAACAAATTCATATGATTTACGACAGTGTTTTTCGTTAGAACCGCTAATTTTTGCACATCGTTTGAAAAAGTGATGTGCAATTGTTTTCATTTTAGCTAAAACGATGTGCAAATTGCACATTGCACACCGTTAATTTGCACACTGGTGATGTTGTACCAGAAAAAGAAAATTTGTATCCCACTTTGTGATGTCATTCATGATGTCATTTAGCATGATGATTTGTCAATTTACGTTTGCCATTACGCATTCAGTGCCATAAATTTTCTTGCAAATATATCTTTATGTCAAAATTGCCAACCATCCTCTGTGTCGTAGTATTTCATTAGTGTGTTCGTTATATTGTTTATTTAGTATGAACGTTATCAACGGTTTGCAGCTGAGGAATTTCTTCGCAGTGAAGGAGGAATATTTTGTCCTCGCCCAGATTGTGGTCAGGGTATATTTGCGTCAACTGCAACACGTCGTGTCGTTTGTGAATATGGATGTGGGGTAAAAAGTTTTGTTATCAATGTAATTATAAACCCTGCCGTTCATATAACTAGTGCATTAATGTAACGACAACATACGAAATCTTTTAAATAGTTTATATGTTTTATTTGTACACAGCACGCAGAAAATTTGTTTTTTAGAGGGATCGATCGCGCGCTAAAATGTGTTGCGTGCGCAGTGCGCTGCACTTAATGACCGAACAGCGCTAAATGCGCTTCAAACATCGTCAAAACTACATGAAGATGACGTAATTTTTTCACCCAATATTTAATTCATCTTGCAGTCTTGAACAGAGAGATGGTCGTGTCAAAATCTCACGTCTATAGTACATAATGTCAGATCTATAGTTCTTACAGCGTCATCCCTTTTTTCTCTCTCCTTTCTCGACAGTTTTGCTCCATAGAAGAGATCATATGAACTGATGCGCGCGATGGATCTCTTAACCTGGGGCCCACCCCTTATATGTGGATAATTGATGAAAGTGATCTGAAAGTGATCATTTTATTATGACATATGTATTTGTTTTCGTTCTTGTATTATTTTGTAAATGTTGAAGAAATGATTTGCAGAACCCTCGGAATCTGAAAATGTTATTGCGAAGTCTGAATGTTAATTATACATTGTAAATGTGTCTTTGTGTTTCGTGTTTTACGTTTCGAATTTATATATTAGCTCATTCTTACAGCTCGTGTTTTGTCGACTTTGTTTACGAAACTATCATGAAGGCGAATGTCCAGTTGATGACGTCATTGGCGCAACTGCATTAGAAAATACTGAATTAGATGTAAGTTTTTACACATAACCGCCTGTCAGCACATTTCATGTAGTTCAACCAAAGTTTATTTTCTAGAGATTTCAAGTCACGGAGTTTAGTAATGAACGAGCCATATGGAATGAACAATCCGAGCAGCAAATCCAACGGACCACAAAACGTTGTCCAAATATTAATTGCAAAGCTCCGACGGAAAAAAATGGTAAGTTACACAATGTTAGTATTTGTTCTACTCGGCGTTAATGGGGTTATATTGTAGGTGGTTGCAATCACATGACGTGTTTCATATGTCGTTTTGAGTGGTGTTGGATATGTCGTACTCCTTGGGGACCAGAATGTCAAAGCAATCATTGGTTTCAATAGAGTGTTTTCACTTTCCTCCATGTTGATATTAAATCTATGTTTTTAAAAGAAATTTTGTTGATTTCAAGTTCTGTTGAGCAAGCGTCGGCACTTTGAAGTAACCTACCAACATGGCCGCTCTGACGTCACAAGAAAACACTCTACCGAAAATGAAACAGATTACTACAACGTTTAAACTCAAATTTATTTCTTTTATGAATGCGACAACATAGAATTGTGTACATCTACTTTCCAATGAAATAATGTCCTTTCAAACCAGTTGTGAAAATAACAACTAATGTTCGGTAACAATGTACCATTTCTTACAATAAACAATTTTTTGCTTTTGGTATAAAGACAGTCCCGCTTGTGACATCATCATGACTGGTCAGCGGTGGTGGGGGTGAATGATGAGAAGTGTAAACTTGATGGGAATCACCATTAGCTGTCGCAAGGGGCATAACGGCCATGACTTCTGCAATCTTTCCTCTAAGATTTATGATTTCCTGTTCTTTATTCATTAATTGTCCTTGAGCGATCTCGAGTCGTCGACGGGTCTCTCCAAGGGCTGAGAAAAGATCAAGCTTAAGACGGGTTTCTGAGCTCAGGCTATTCTCTAAATGTGTGTTCTTTCCTTGAATGGCAGCCAGAGTTGACATCAACGATTCCGTCTCCTTTTTCAGCTGAATACTATCGTTCTCGTTCGTCTTTAGTTTAAGATTTTCCACATCCTTTTCAAGACATTTAATTCGTTCGTCTTTCTCGTTTATCGTCACCTGTAATTGCCTTATTTCTTCCTCGAATTCCACTCTTTGTGCGTTGCAATTTTCTTGAATAGCAGTGTCTTCTCTTGACTGGCGTAACTCGTCTTCCTTCCATTTCTTCCGTTCTTCACGAAGTTGTCCTTCCAGTAATTGCTTTGACTCGCGTTCCGACTTCAGCTTTCGTTCTAAACTTGCAATATTATTGCGATCCTGTTGACGGGAGGATGTCAACGTTTGTAGTCTAAACAAATAAATGTATTGGCAATATAATAGAAAGCAATGTACATCAATTAGTTTATCAAAAATGTTTTTCTACACATTGTGTATCAAAATAAAGGTAACAACTAGATATTGCAATGGATTATTGGCCTCTGAGAATTCAAACGGCTTTTCGTTGAACTGCTAAAAGTCAAGATTACAAGATTCTCAAATCCCCGGTACCAAACACCATACGTCATGTAATAAAAGATGAACAGCTGTTGCCTTTTTTATACACCATGCGGAACATGATAAAAATGTTAGGATAAATAGACCAGCTTTGTCTTCATGTATATATAAAAATAAATTGCGAAACATAATGCAAGCATACTTCTGTTGGTAAATTTCGTTATCATTCTTCAATTGATTGACTTCCGACTTGAGAGATCTTTCATTGGAAATGAGAGATTGAAGTTGTGAACGAATATCCTGTTCGTTGTGACGACTGCTTTGCAAGTCTTGCTTTACTCGCTTCAACTCGTTTTCAGTGTGACTGAGTGTGCTCTCTATGCGTCGTCTGGATATAAACAGAAGGAAGATCAAAATACAAATGACAAAAAATGAGAATAGAAGAATGATAAAGCACGTTAAAGAAGAATGGAAAAGAACGCTAAAGAAGGATGGTAAAGAACGTTAAAGAAGGATAGTAAAGAACGTTAAAGAAGGATGGTAAAGAACGTCAAAGAAGGATGGTAAAGAACGTTAAAGAAGGATGGTTAAGGAAGGATGGTAAGAACAAAGAAGGATAAAAGAAGGATAAAAGGAAAAGAAGAAGGATGGTAAAGAAGGATGGTAAAGAACGTTAAAGAAGGATGATGTAAAGAACGTTTAAAGAATGGTAAAGAACGTGGTAAAGAACGGAAGGATGGTAAAGAACGTTGAAGGATGGTAAAGAACGTTAAAGAACGGAAGGATGAAGAACGTTATAAGAACGAAAGAAGGATGGTAAAGAGGGAAGGATGGTAAAGAACGTTAAAGAAGGATGGTGAAGAACGATAAAATGGTAAAAGATGATAAGGACATAATGAAAATAAACAACGACAAAGGTTAGAAAATGATGAAAATAGAGAATAGAAGACTTGGAGATTTGACAGAAAAATGTATTATACCTGGAATTTTTTTCTTCTTTTAGTTGTATCACTAATGAATGATTGACATCTGCGGTAAGAGAAGAACGAGACTTGGAATCCTTAATGAGAAAAGCAACAATTAATGTGATACATCTATCTTTCATTCAACTCGTCTAGTTCATACCATCGCCAACGTCTTCTGATGAGTATCTCTTTTACTTCCACCATGACAACTGTTTGTTGACGTATTTGATGAATCACCACTATCAGATTCTTCATCACAACGTACTCCATTAGCCTTGGCGGAACTCGTTCTTTTAGCTCCACCAAACAGAGAACGTCCAGTAGGATTATCACCTGCACGATTATCTTGTTCTAGTTTATTTTCAAGTTCGTTCAAGTTATGATCTTCATTTATTTTTTTTCCTAAGGTTGCCTTGTTTCGACTTATTTTCTCGTTGTTTAAAGTCTTTGCATTCTCATGACAATTGCCATTTAGAAGTTCAATAGGTGACTTGCTATTGCCAACACTTTGGTTATAAACTTGAACACTCTTTTTAGCCGCTTCCTCTGGAACTTTATCAATCACATTTCCTAAATTCATCAAAAAAATAATCAATAGAAATCATTGAAAGCACTACTCCAAAGTGGAAACATTATTTATCAAACTAACCTTTCATAATATCTAAGTTATCTGATGGTAATGACTGGTTGATCAGCTCCATATAAAAATCATTTTCTTTGCTAACTTGATGAATTTTTCTCTAGCATGGGAAATAGTTGCTACATTATTATAAATATAACATAATTATTGTATTGTCATGTTGTAAACAAACCTGTCTAATTTTATAACCGACATAACTCTTTACACCATAGCCCAATGTCACAACTGGATAACCAATACTAAAATAAGAAAATTGTTGGCATCAAAAGGGTAACGAGACTGTTTGTAATGTAACACAATCAACAAGTGGATAACAGGGATTTTCTAGACAAATTTGTTGCCTTTCAAAAGCATGTGCACAAACATGAGATTATTAATTTCCTTAACCAGACATTCTTGTAGTTAACATTAAGTTAAAAAAACAATCTTTTAAAGTTATTTCACAAGTTAACACACTGGAAGAGCAATATAACTATGTTGACATTTTGTTGCCATTAGAAAAGGCTACAGTGAATAAAAAAATGTTGTTTTTGTTGATATTAAACATGACTTCCAATGTTATCCTAAGTTAATCATATAATTATTCTAATCAAAAGTCTTTTGTGAATATGAAGGTTTGTAATTTGAGGGTTTGTGTTTTAAGCATATGACAAGCAATCCAATGTTATCCTTAATGAATAGTGTAGTTATTCTTGCAAAAAGTCTATGAGAATGTGAATGTTTCTTTGGGGGTTTATATTTAAAACGTATGACAAACAATCACCAATGAGCAGCAAAAGGCCGACACAAATCCAAGTGGAATGGTAAATTTTTTAACTCCTTTAATCGAACAGAGGCCTCAACATATATGAACAATAACCACATGGATATAGTTGGTAGACCAAGACCACGATCTAAAAAACAGGGACACAATCATTCTATTAAATAATTACAATAAAGGGTGTAATTATTCTAGACCTTGTACAAGTGAGCATGAATTTACTATCTCCTTTACCTGTATGCCAGACAAACTGAACCCAGACATAGGTACTAGCAGCAAAAAATAGCCAATGAATTGGTAGCACCATTAAAAACACAACGTCTGAACACAGTGCCAGGATTAGAAATAGGACAGAGAAGACCTTCAATGGATACAATAGCAAATAATGTAAAACAACTATTCAAAATAAGAATAAAGACATAAGAGGAAAATTCATTACCAATCCTTGGTATTTAAAGGAATCGTATGTACTTCTCATGAGAAGCCAAAACGGCCACAAATATTCGAAACGAAACTCAAGCAAAAAGTCCGCAGTCAGAACCATAATCCAGACAATGAAGAATTTCACATAAATAAATAAGCTGAAAGAAAAGAGAAATACTATCAATTATCAAATGACAAGGAGAGGACCTGCTGTGAAAAATGAGTAAATAATATATTTTCAAGAAGTGAATTCTTCGCAAACTATCGCCATTTAATCCTACCTGCCATAAACAGATTCCGTTATTTTAGACCTTTTTAATGGTCTACGCAATTTAGATGTATCAATCCTCCGTTTTATGGTCATGATTCATGCATGTAATGACAAAATACAACAGATTTTTTTAAAGGAAAGTACAAATCCCACAGAAATGAATTGTCTCTTCTAATGTTCGCGCGTGCGCATTATCATATGACAGGATTCAGGTGGAGGATGTGGAGTAAATACTTGTCTCGTGTACATGCCATGTACAAACGGTACAAATATATTTATAGATCAGTATTCGCGTGACCTTCAAAGGATCGTTGTGTGCACGACGGTTTATATTACCAAAAACACTGATCTATATAGATAACTAAATGAACTTTATACTCTTCAATCGTCGTTACACTCATTACATTTATTCCTGTTGTGTATCATTTGCGTTGTGTTTTGGGCGTTCAGCAGGTCATAAGAAATTTGTACCTTGAAAAGAAGAATTTTTCCCATGTTACCGCGTTTATTATTTATATATTGGGCCTCGTTTACTGTACAAAACAATACACATGGCTTCTCATACGGACGAGTTTGGACGTCCAAAATCAGTGGGCTTATACAATCCTGAACTGGAAAAGGATGCTTGTGGTGTTGGCTTTATTGTCAATATTAACGGAGAAAGGAACAACAAGGTATTCTGTTTTTTATGAAATTTTTGTTGGCATGCGAAATTTCGACATTTGATATTTGTCCATTTGTCGGTGGATTTTTCATTGTTTCTAAATTGTAATTTACTTACTTTTTATTGTGTTGATAATTGCAAAATCGATTATGAATTATGTACGTTGGAAATTATATGTGTTTACTTCGGCTTTAATCTATTTTATGCGCTAGATATGAATTGTTTTTCGAAACTCGTGAAAGTGATTTCCCACAATTATTGTGAAAGTCTCCCCTACTGTGTCAATTGTGTAAGATGGTCAAAAAATGTTACGTGAGATTCAATTGTTTGTAGATACCTAGCTGCGTATTTGGAACTCCTTTAATGTTCCCTCTGCCTTTGTAATATGTGTTACATCACGTTTTCATATTAAAAACAACTCCTCTACTCTGAACTGAGAGTCTTGATCAAAGTCTTTTTATGCCAGTATATTTCAACAGATAGTTTGTTTGTGGATAAAGTAAAATCCTTTCCAACTGACAATTTCAAAAAATTTAGAATGAAACATGTACTTTGATAAGCAAAGTCATTTTGCAGTATGAGTTACATGAAAAACAAGATCCTATTCAATTGCCCAGTACTGTTCCACTTGAGATAAAAATAAGTATTCTTCTTTTACGAAATTTAATTTGTTAAATTGAGTGAATAAGAAACCATTGAATGTAAATAATTCAAGAGTCATTGGTGATTTGGCAATCATATGAGGAAACCCTAATTATTTAATTTGTGTGAATTAAAAATTGTTATCTAGATAATTGCAGAGTCATTGGTAATTTTGCGTCACATGAGCCACCGTGGGGGATGTGGATGTGATCAATTTAGTGGTGATGGCACAGGAATAATGACAGCAATTCCTCATGAACTTTATCTCAAGATTCTGCCGTAAGTTATGATTTAATGTAGGAATATTAATTGAATGGACTAGAATAGAACAATGTGATACTGGAAGATGGTGACTTTCTTTTAGTGAAGAAGGGATGAGTTTTGTTCTCCCTAAACCTGGATACTATGCCACTGGCTTGTTTTTCATGCAAAATGATGAATCACAGGTATCAAACTAAGTAAGGCTTCTGACTTTAACATTTAATGATAATAAATGTCATTAAAATGGCGCTCATTGACAAAATATTTTTATACATTTTTTCATCATAAATTTATTCTATGGCACTATTTTATTTTAAATGTTCATGGAAACATTTAATTGATTTTTGTTAAATTGGAATCATTACATTTTAAGTCTTATTAAATACACTTGATTAGATTGCCATCTGCAAGAATTATTTTGAGGAATTAGCCGATGATTGTGAGATTAAGGTAAAAACTAAAATGCTGCAAAAGGTTGTCATGATATAGTTTGCATTAAAGTTCATACTGTTGTTAAAGGTCCTTGGTTGGCGAAAAGTTGCTGTAAACTGGAAAGTCCCTGGACCATATTCTCATTTGAAAAAACCAGCAATTGAACAGGTATTTGCCTATTTTCACCATGTCTATATAGTAAGTGCTAAATAGTAAATACCATCTAAATTTTCTTGTATTTAGGTGTTTGTGTCAAGCAGTTTTAATGATGTGGATAGATTTCGAAAGCAAGTATGTTTTTGTTTGCCTTATATGCATCAAAATTTTTTTTCTAACTCAGTGTTTTTGCATTTCTTCTTTCCAGGTGTTTATGTTGAGAAAGATGGCCAGCCGCATTATTCCATCAAAGTGTGAAAGATTTTATATTTGCAGTTTGTCAACAGAAACCATTGTGTACAAGGTATGTATGATATAAATCTTGATGATATTTGGATATGTTATAGGATAGTCTAGCATGATATAAGTAGGTACGGTGGTATACAATGAATTGGGTGACAATTTTAGGACATAGTGTTTAAGTGTTTTCTGAGGATGTATTTTCATACCGGTAACACATTTTTTTTAAAGGGAATGCTTAATGTTACACAATTAGCAGAGTTTTTCCTTGATCTTGGACAGAAGGAATTCAAGTAAAGTACATACATTGTATTATGCACTTTGGAATAATTCTTTAAAATATTCATGCTCTCATTCTCAAGGAGTCACTTTGCCATTATTCATAATCGATTTTCTACAAACACATTTCCAAGCTGGGAACGTGCTCATCCACAACGGTGTGTATACTTTATTCCTCATTATTCCCCATTCATCCCTATGTACCTCATCATTTCATTCATTTGTTATAGTTTCCTTGCACATAATGGTGAAATAAACACTCTCAAGGGTAACATAAACAATATGAGAGCAAGAGAAGGCATGATGGACTGCCCTTATTACAAAGATAATCTCCAAAAGTGAGTAATGAAGTGAACTTCCAAGTGATTTATAAATATTGCTCAGATCTCATCAAAGCATTTATTATTTTGATGAAGACTGTTTCCAGTTATTGAACCTGGAATGTCAGATTCGGGCTGTGTTGATAATGCTGTTGAGTTCTTAGTGATGGCAGGGAAGAGATCATTACCAGAGGTGTGATATGCAACATATATCTTCATTGAATATCTTCATTGAATATCTTCATAAATTTTGTGGTCTGGATTTCACTCATTCACTTGTCCTTCCAGGCCATCATGACAATGGTACCTGAAGCTTGGCAGAATGATGGAACCATGTCGTCGGAAAAACGAGACTATTATAAATGGAGTTCGTGCGCAATGGAACCTTGGGATGGACCAGGTTTGTAACCATGACAACCTGTGAAGAATAAGAGAACAACTATATACGTAGAATTAACGAATGAATTTGCAGTTTTAGAGAGAAACAATTGCAGATGACGAATGTCGTAAATCATATGAATTTGTTCACGTTTGAAAGATTAATTTAGCAATTAGATAATAGTTAACGTAATATCGATTTGAATGAAAGAAACACTTTTGTCAAAAAGTTTTTCTGAGTGACGTAGATCAATAAAGATGATATCTATAAGTTCATTGAAGATTTTACGTTGGTGAAGATGTTTAGCATTGTTAAATTGAAATACAATGTGATAAATTTGATTTCTGTTTTTATCTTTGATTAGCGTTGTTTACTTTCTCCGATGGTCGTTATGTCGGAGCAGTTTTGGACAGAAATGGTCTGAGACCATCTCGTTATTACATCACCACGGATGGTCGAATGATTATGGCCAGTGAAGTAGGCGTATCTTCTGTTTCTGAAGAAATTGTCCAACGAAAGGTAATGTAATTATAATGACGTCAACATCAGGATGATGAGGCTGACGCGAACAATATTGAAAATTACCATAGAGAAGCTGGTGGAAGGAACATTGTAGGATACTATAGCCATGATGTAGAATCTACAAAGTTAATTTAAAAATATAGTGAAAGTTATGTTTGCACTCTATACCCATGACAAAGTTTCCTTCCAGTTGTTTTTCCTTCCATTTCTATGGATTACCTCGGTAGATGAATTCCATCATTTGTAATTTATTATTTCTGCATTTCAGGGTCGTTTGATGCCCGGGAGACTATTACTTGTTGATACACAGCGCGGAGAGGTTATCAACGATGAAGAATTAAAATACAGTATTTCAACGCGAAGACCAGTGACAAAATGGCTGAAAGAAGGATTATTTACTTTGCAACATCTTCACAATGCTTACAACAAGGACAAAGGATTACCCGAAGGACATACTCTTGTCTCTAAAGAGAATCCTTTGGAAATATCAATTCATTATGATCGCCGTCTACCAACATTCGGCTATTCTGTAGAGGATATTAGTATGTTGGTGCTACCAATGATTCGCAACAAGTATAACATTAGAATTTTGTTACTTTTGGCATGTCGACCAATCATTGTCGACCATTCGTTGCTTAATTGTAACTATAATTTTGTATTTAGGAAGGAGGCAATCGGTTCCATGGGCAATGACACTCCTCTAGCATGTCTGACAATGCATCCACAGTTACTTTTCGATTATTTCAAACAACTTTTCGCTCAGGTAGAATTGGTTGTTAACGAGACCCCATTAACATCTCTTACTTGTCATCTACAGTAACTCTTTGATCATTTTCAATGAACTAATCAGTCAAACATCATTCTAACTTGTCTGTTCTTAAGGTCACTAATCCTCCAATTGATCCCTTCCGAGAAACCATTGTCATATCACTGGTAAGTTTTCAACTTTCCTACAATCCAAGGTTCCACGTAAAATTTGCTGTTTAGTTAAAGTGAAGTTTTAATTTAGGCATGTCCTATTGGCCCTGAGAGTAACTTACTAGACCCAGGTCTTCGGCAATGTGAGAGATTATATCTTGATCATCCAATCATTTCGCTCGGTGATCTTGAAGTAATAAAAGAATGTAGTTTACCAAAATGGAAGGTATCCTTTGTGACATAGTGTTTTTTATTGGTGGCACTATTTTCATATTAATGATCAACTTGTTTCCCCAGGCTCAAGTCATTGACACTGTCTACGATGTTCAAGAAGGAACGGATGGTCTAGTTCCAGCTTTAGATAGCTTCTGTCAACAAGTAGTTATTACTTAAATGTGTTTAAAGAAATTTTATTTTCATGATTTGTATCACATTGTTTGTTTGTTTGTTACCAGGCTTCTGATGCAATCAAAAACAAGAACGCCTTTATCATTTTATCGGATCGCCTCGCCAGTAAAAGTAGAGTTCCCGTGAGGTATAAATATTGTATATACTCTTCACTTTACTAAATATTATTGGGTTTTGTTCTTCTGGTATGAACTGTTTGACCTATGCTTGTAATTTACTTTTTTTTGTAGCTTTGCATTAGTCAAGCTACCCACATGTAATTGTTACGTACAAATTTTTTATTTTTTTTGTTAGTTCGTTGTTGGCTCTTGGTGCTGTTCATCACTATCTGTTGAAGACAAAACAAAGACCAAGAGTTAGCATAATCGTTGAAACTGCTGAAGCGAGGTATTGCATAAATCCTTTTCCAGTCGACTATTTCAAAAAATAAAAGAAAAAACACACTCCATAAAACATCATCTTGTAAACTCAAGATTCGAATTATAAAAGCAGGAGACAAGATTTCAAGCAATATTTCGACTTTATTTCAAAGTCTTACCTAGATAAAGACTATGTCTACCTTGTCTACCTTGATAATGACTTTGAAATAAAGTCGAAATATTGCTTTAAATCTTGTCTCTTGCTTTTGTAACTCGAATCTTGAGTTTACAAGATGATGTTTTTTGGAGTGTATTTTTTCTGAGGTATGGCTCTCTCGGTTATTTCTTTCGACGTATGCAATGTCTGCTGACTTTCTTGTTTCCTACATAGAGAGATTCATCACTTTTGTCTGTTGCTTGGTTACGGTGCAGACGCAATCTGTCCGTATTTGGTGTTTGAAGTTGTTCAGATATTGAGACGCGAAGGTGTGATGAATGAAGATGTGAGATTTTTTTAGGAAACTTTATTTTAAAAAAATTTTGATGTAATGTTTAGGTTTGCTCGATCCTCCTTTATCCGACAAAGAAGTTTATAAAAATCTTCAAACCGCTTCGTTCACTGGTATTTCTAAAGTTATGGCTAAAATGGGCATTTCAACCTTACAAAGTTACAAAGTAAGTTGCAGATAGCATTGTGAACCATTCGAATTATTACAGATCCTACTAATTCTAGTTATTATTCAGGCAGCACAAATATTTGAAGCTGTTGGTCTGAATGAAGAGGTACGTGTCTAACTACCCTATGGGGAGGGGGGGGAGGGTTAGGAATGATTATGTTCTCGGTGGTCTTGTGTTTGGCAACGTGAGGTAATGCAGCATTTGATTGAACTGTATTACTTTTGGTCGTGGATTTTTCATTCCTGCTGCGACTTAGAGAATCCTCACGAAATTTGAAACGATGATAAATTTTACTGAAGCTTTTGCCAACTTGTAAGGGGATGTTTGTAGAGCTTCATAAATGGTTTTGCTCCCTCTGTCTCCAGGTGATTGAAAAATGTTTTACTGGAACGGCATCTAGAATCTCTGGAGTAACATTTAAAGTTTTGGCTCAAGAGGTAACTTACTTAGGAATATAATACTTTTCTCTATTGGTCATGTTCAACAACTGAAATATGAATGTGAACTATGTCCTGCTCCCCGTAGGCAATGGATCGCCACAGGATTGCTTATGCAGATCGTGATACAGACAACGTATTGGTTAACAACTGGGTTGGTAACAGCAAAAATTTAATCTTGTTACTTGTATGCATCGTAGCATAAGAAATTGCATTTTGGACGGCAGCCGTTTTTATATAACCAAATGTTAAAATGAAAGCTGACCTCAGTTTGCTTAGAGACCTCAAATAGGATAAAATTACTGTAACGCTTACAGAAAGTTGACTACTGATGACAGTTTTATCTTTATGTAGTCATTGGGGCTGTGAACATTGCCGGAGAAGATCTGAAATATTATTAGAATTATAATATTTTAACGTTGTAGCTTGTAGATTTACTGATGGTCACAGGTTCATTGAAAGCAATTACTTTCAACTAGTAAACTGTCTATGTTATTGTGGTATTATGGAGTACTTTCTTTGCAGGGTGAATACCACTGGAGAGATGGGGGAGAGAAACATGTCAACGATCCTCGGAGTATTGGATTATTGCAGGTATTTTTTTGTTGTGAACGTTTCTTTGGTTTGTATGTGCTTATTCCTTTCCATCGTCCAGGATGCTTCAAGAGGAAACAACACGAAAACATTCAAGAAGTTTGTCGAGTCTACTTGGAGAATGGTAATGAATTTAATATCGTTTTGTTTTATGACGTAATGAGGTTGATATGTATGGTCTTTCTTTATTTTAGGTTAAAGCTTGCACACTTCGTGGACAGATGGAATTTAATTTTGCCAATAAACCTCTTGACTTGAATGAAGTCGAACCTGCTTCAGAGATTGTCAAACGATTTTGTACAGGTGCGCTATCACAACCCATTTTCTTCAATACTTAATTATTCTAAATACCCAGGATAATGTCATTTTTACAGGGGCCATGAGTTTTGGTTCAATATCAATAGAAACACACGAGACTCTTGCTGTTGCGATGAACAGGTGCAGCAAATTATGATACGTTGTTATATACGTCATTTTTGACGTCATTACCATACGTCATTGTAGACGTCACTTTTGACTTTGTGATTTTTTAACCTAGAATGGGAGGCAAAAGTAATACAGGTGAAGGTGGCGAAACTCCAGAACGTCTAACAATTACTGATGAGTTACACAATACAAGATCTGCCATCAAACAAATTGCTTCTGGTAGATTTGGTGTAAACAGCGCATATCTTGCTCACGCTGATGACCTGCAAATTAAAATGGCTCAGGTTTTTTTTTGTTTGAAATATTATATTTCTTCCATTGTCTCAAGTACTTCTCCATTTGTTATACAAAAGAAATGGAGACTCATGTGTACACTGTCTTTCCTCGACACTACTTTCATTTCTGTTGTTATTCTTCTTTTAACTTGCTGTTATTTTTCTTAGGGTGCCAAACCCGGTGAAGGGGGTGAACTTCCGGGACATAAGGTTACACCGGAAATAGCTAAAACACGATTATCAACTCCAGGTGTTGCGCTAATTAGTCCACCACCTCACCACGATATTTACTCCATCGAAGATCTTGCTGAGGTTTGCTCTTACGTATCTTAAATTTTTAACTTTTTTAATGAAATAACAAATATGGTTTTGTTCTTTTTGTTTTAGTTAATCTTCAATTTGAAATGTTCAAATCCTAAGTCAAGAATCAGTGTAAAACTTGTCTCTGAAGTGGGTGTTGGCGTCATTGCCGCTGGTGTTGCTAAGGTACATCACCAGCTGCCGTTGCTAAGCAAAACATCTTCAATACCTTGCAATGGAGATTTATGTCCTTTTAGGGTCACGCCGAACACATCGTAATATCAGGTCATGATGGGGGAACTGGTGCGAGCTCTTGGACTGGTATCAAGCACGCTGGATTACCTTGGGAACTGGGTTTGAGTGAGACTCATCAAACTTTAGTGTTGAATAATTTACGACGTCGTGTGGTCTTGCAAACCGATGGTCAGTTGAGGACAGGTATGTCGTATGACAACATGTGTTTTTGTTTTGTTATGTCGTATGACAACATGTGTTTTTATTTTGTTATGTCGTACGACAACATGTGTTTTTATTTTGCTTGTAGGAAGAGATGTTACCATTGCTGCGTTACTTGGAGCTGATGAATATGCATTTTCTACTGCTCCTTTGATCAGTTTAGGATGTACGATGATGAGAAAATGCCACTTGAATACTTGTCCTGTTGGCATAGCAACCCAGGTATAACTTAATTTATTAACTGATGATATTACAGAATAGCTTCTTTATTTATTTTGCTGTTTTTTTCTGTTTCTTAAGGATCCAGTTTTGAGAAAGAAATTCGACGGGAAACCAGAGTATGTAATCAACTATTTCTTCATGATTGCTGAAGAGGTAATGATGTTTATGATAACAGTGTATTTGAGGGACTTCGTAGGATTACAATACTAAATTATTCTCTCTAGATAAGGGAGTATATGGCGCAATTGGGATTTAAGACAATGAAAGAAATGATTGGTCAAACGCAATGTTTAAGAGAGAGTAGTGATCCTCTAAATATGAAAACTAAGGTAAGCCATGGTTTTATAGCAAACATCTTCCTTAAATTCACATTGTGGAATTTATCTTCCTGAAATTCACATTTATTTATAGCTTCTAGACTTTGGAAAAATTTTGGTTCCTGCTTCTACATTAAACGAAGGTGATCATTATGGTGGAACTGAAGAACAGGAGTTTGGTTTATTTGATCGAATGGTAGAGTTTAGAGAACCTCAACTTTTGAAGATATTGACCTATTATTTATTACTATATTGATCAATTCTAGGAAAATAAACTTGAGTCGGCCGTCCTCGAAGTTCTCGAAGGAAGAAGAAAGAATGTTACCATGGAGATGAATATTGGTAACGAAGACAGAAGCTTTGGTACCACAACAAGTTATCATATTGCCAAGTAAGATATCTTGTAATAATGAGTTGCTAGGAGATAGTGTACCTAAGTTTGCACGATGATACGTTCACATATCATCTGTAGACAGAACCATGTGGTTAATAGCTACGATCTATGATGTTTGATCATCTGTAGACAGAACCATATGGTTAATAGCTACGATCTATGATGTTTGATCATCTGTAGACAGAACCATATGGTTAATAGCTACGATCTATGATGTTTGATCATCTGTAGACAGAACCATGTGGTTAATAGCTACGATCTATGATGTTTGATCATCTGTAGACAGAACCATGTGGTTAATAGCTACGATCTATGATGTTTTCGTTCGTATTTCTCTTAGAAAGCTCATGGACACAGGTCTTTCTGAAGACACTATTTTGTGAAGCTCAATGGCTCAGCAGGTGCATGATCATATTTCTAGGTATTCTTTGTTCTCAACTATATAATACCATCTTAAAATCGTTTTTAAGGTCAGAGTTTTGGTGCGTTCATCTGCAAAGGCATCACGCTTGAACTTGAAGGAGATGCAAATGATTACGTTGGAAAAGTAATTCTCACATCGACATGACAGGCTTTAGATAAGAGAAAAATCTTATTGGTAGTGACTTTTATCTTTTAGGGACTTTCTGGTGGGAAGATAATACTCTATCCTAGCAAAAAATTACCCGAAGGATTCAAAGCCGAGGAAAACATTATTGCAGGCAATGTCTGCTTGTATGGTGCAACATCGGGAAAAGTAAATGATCTTAACTATGTTTTAAAGTGAATTGTATCCACATCTAACTAATGAATATGTTGTTTTTCTTGGGAAGGCGTACTTCAGAGGAGTTACCGCTGAGAGATTTTGTGTTCGTAACTCGGGCGCACTTGCTGTATGCGAGGTATGAGTCTTTCAAGTGAAGGTATGTCAAAGTTATGCATTTAATGAGCACGAGGATTGTATATTCTCTAGGGTTGTGGTGATCATGGATGCGAGTACATGACAGGGGGAACAGTCGTGATTTTGGGACCAACTGGACGCAATTTTGCTGCTGGAATGTCTGGCGGCGTTGCTTTTATATACGACCGGTATTGGAGCCTGTGAATATCTGTTCTTCAATAATCTCAAGTCATAAACGTTTGCTTTGCGTTTAGTTTAGGGAAATTTTCAAATCTTTGTAACACAGAGAAAGTTGACCTTGACCCGCTATCAGAAGAAAACCAGACCACTCTTAAAAACATCGTTCAGGATCATTTTCATTACACTCGATCCGAAGTGGCCAAGAATCTGTTACAAAACTGGAATGATTCTTTACGCTACTTCGTGAAGGTAAAAATTTTGTGTATTTAAACATGGTGTACTTTTCAAGGAGAAAACAAAATGATGACGTCATTCTCGTGATGTAATAAACCTTTAGGTCATTCCACGCGAGTATAAATTGGCTTTAGAACGTCAAAATAAAGAGAAATACGAGGTAAGATATCGTTGTCATTGGTATAGAAATAAATACACTTTAATGTTAATTTTTTGTATGTAGAAAGAAAAGAATGAAAAAAATGAGAAGATTTCACTTGAGATAAAAGATGAGATGCCACCTTTGAAAAACGATGGAGGAAATGAAATAGCTGATATTGAAGAAGCAGTTTTGATTGGCGAAGAAAACAAGAACATCGACAAGCAAAGGTTTTTCTTCCTCTAAAAACCATTTTTGCTCATTTGATGCCTTCATAAATTTTCATTTCAGAGGTTTCGTTCAATACAAGAGACGAGCGAACGCATATAGACCTGCAAAGAAACGGTTAGAAGATTGGAAAGAGATCTATAATCACCCTAAGAATAAAGAATTAAAGGTTCAGACAGCAAGGTCAGCGGTATTCTTTTTTGTCGATTGAATTTTAGGTAGTTACTTTATCTGACCCTTCCTGAAGTTTATCAATATGTTGTTATAAGGGAACACACGTAATACCTTCCTACTTAATCTTAACCATACTTAGCCATACGTAGGACACCTTAACCATACTTACCCATACGTAGGACACCTTAACCATACTTAGCCATACGTTGGACACCTTAACCATACTTAGCCATACGTTGGACACCTTAACCATACTTAGCCATACGTAGGACACCTTAACCATACTTAGCCATACTTTGGACACCTTAACCATACTTAGCAATACGTAGGACACCTTAACCATACTTAGCCATACTTTGGACACCTTAACCATACTTAGCCATACGTAGGACACCTTAACCATACTTAGCCATACGTAGGACACCTTAACCATACTTAGCCATACGTAGGACACCTTACCCATACGTGGACGTCTTAACCATACGTAGGACATCTTAACCATACTTAGCCATACTTTGGACACCTTAACCATACTTAGCCATACGTAGGACACCTTAACCATACTTAGCCATACGTAGGACACCTTAACCATACTTAGCCATACGTAGGACACCTTACCCATACGTAGGACATCTTAACCATACGTAGGACATCTTAACCATACTTAGCCATACGTAGGACACCTTAACCATACTTTGCCATACGTAAGTCACCTTAGTCATACTTACCCATACGTAAGACACCTTAGCCATACTTAGCTATACTTACCTATACTTAGACCACGTTAGACATACGTAGTCCCTCTTTAGATAACTTATCTTTAGATAACCTTATCTTTACTTAAGAAGATATTACGTTTCTTCATTTATAACAACATATTCCTACACTTCGGGAAGGATAAAATTTTTAAAGAAAGGTGCATTGATTGACGTGTAGATGTATCTTTCATTAAGGTGCATGGATTGTGGCGTTCCATTCTGTCAATCAAAAACTGGTTGTCCTCTTGGAAATGTTATTCCCAGATGGAACGACCTTGTCTTCCATGTTAGTAATGATATTAACTTAGTAGTTTTGCAATTGGCATGTGTCTATAATATATGACCTGAAAAACTACACGTATATTTGTAATACATCACATAAAGATATGTTTTTGTTTCAAGGGTCAATGGCAAGATGCATTAGACAGATTGTTGCAGACTAATAATTTTCCTGAGTTTACTGGAAGAGTTTGTCCGGCTCCTTGCGAGGTAACACTTATTGTTCTTCGTCAACTGTTATATGTTCTACATTCATCGTGACCCTATTTATCGCCTGTTGTACATTGATGTTGACCATGGTTATCTTGTGTTGTAGGGTGCTTGTGTATTGAGTATAAACTCTAAACCTGTGACGATCAAGAGTATTGAATGCAAAATAATTGATGTTGCCTTTGAGAAAGGATGGATGAAACCACAGGTGAAGTTAGACTATAATAACAGTTTGCGTTTGGCGTTCTCATTTTGTGATATTTTTGTCCCTCCAGCCTCCTCAGTCACGCACTAGTAAAACAGTCGCAATTATAGGCAGTGGTCCTGCAGGATTGGCTGCGGCAGCTCAGCTCAACAAGGTATGAAATTTGCTGCAAGCACCGACGCGATGCATTTAATTACATGAAGTAATTCATGTTCCAGGCCGGTCATCTGGTTACAGTGTACGAGAAAAACGATAAATGCGGAGGATTAATGATGTATGGTATTCCTTCAATGAAGATCGAAAAACAGGTTTTTATTTTATACATAACTGTCGTTATTTTATTTGCTTCCCTTGGTGTTCCCACAATCTATTGATTAAGAATGTTTACCATTTAGATTGTCGACAGGCGCATTAAACTTATGTCTGACGAAGGAATACAGTTCCTTCCTAACACGGAGATTGGTAAGGATATTTCTGGCAAAAAGCTACTCGCTTCATACAACGCTGTCCTCCTTGCCATTGGTTCAACTGTACCACGTGATCTGCAAATCCCAGGTAAGTTTCTTTGCTTGAGCTCCTCTTTGCTTTCTTTCATTGAGCGACCTTACTGCTTTGTTTAGGTCGTGAACTCAAAGGCATTTTATTTGCGATGGATTTCCTCGAACAAAATCAGAAGAAGCAATTTGGTACAATAATGAAGTGAACGTTGTTTTCCGTTAAGAAATATCAATAATTTTACCACTCTCTCTCTCTCTATTTCGTTTACAGGATATCTCAAAGGAGACGTTGTTGATGCGCATGACAAGAACGTGATTGTCATTGGCGGAGGAGATACTGGGGTCGACTGTGTGGCAACATGTGTCAGACAGGTACGTATATTCTTTCATGTGATGTAATATTTAAAGAAGACTTGTTTTATCGTGAGGATTTTTTTAATGCTCAGAATGCAAGAAAGATTATGACGTTTGAATTGTTGAGTGAACCTCCAAAGGATCGCGGTGCGTACAATCCTTGGCCTCAGTGGCCGCGCGTCTTCAGAATAGAGTATGGGCACGAGGAGGTAAACATAATTCGTGACCTTTGCCTTTCTTGATAATGATGATATTGTAAATTGGAATTGAAATTAGGTTGCCATAAAGTATGGAAAAGACCCGAGGCTTTACAATACCCTTAGCAAGGTAATTAGTAATGTTTTCATTTCGCTGTGTTGTTGGGACGTTGGTGTATTAATATGTGTTATATCAGGAGTTTCTAGGAGATGGCAAAGGAAATATTTCTGGAATAAGAACCGTGAAAGTTGAATGGGTTAAGGTACATTGAAGATTGATGATTTATTTATGACCATTGCAAACTTGGTCATAATTTATTTATAATGACGTCATCGTTTTTTCTTAATTGGTTAACAGAATGCTTATGGTCGATGGGAGATGATGGAAATACCTAACTCCGAACAAATTGTCAAAGCCGATCTAGTTTTGATAGCTCTTGGTTTTACGGGTCCTTCAAAGACTCTTTCGAAACAACTTGGCCTGAAAATTGTACGTTTTGGACGTAATACATTTTGATTCCACGAAACATTTGGGTTATCAAAACTTTTTATCATTTCCTTCGTTTATAATGAATTTGTGACTACACAATTGTTTAGGACATGCGATCAAACTTTGCAACTGAAAGGAAAAGTTTTAAAACCAATTTAGAACATGTCTATGCAGCTGGAGGTAGAAACGAAAAATTGAAACGATTTTGTTTTTGATTTGGAAGGATGACGAGTTGATTTTTTTGCTAACAGATTGCCGATTCGGTCAATCATTGGTTGTGACCGCCATTGCTGAGGGAAGACAAGCAGCTAGACAGATTGATCTTGAGCTCATGGGTACAACGTCATTGGCTGGTCCTGGTGGCGTTATCATCAACCACGACGATCAAAATAAAGTGAGATCCAACTGATTTATCTGTGACAACACAGCAGACTTCTAAATTGCAAGATTTAGCTAGCTTTCAAAACATTGCTGATAAGGGCGGGCGTATTAATACTTATATATAGAATAACGGAAACGGGGAAACTATATGGTATGAATGTTAATAATTTTAAATTTAGTGGATTTTAAACTTGCTGGGATGTGTATATTAAACGTGATTTTAGCTTTAACTTGTGCATTCGTTCCCGATTAATTCCATGTTGTAGTTTTTTATTAACAAGGAAGTTGAAGGGCAAACGAAGAACTCCATTCACTTTGTCCAATGATATTAACGGCAGCCACGCGAAACTGAATTCGATTTTCCAATTTCTTGTCGCTTTTTTGGGTGTGGAAAGGGTTGCATCTCTTATCGTTCATCACTGAACCATCTTGAATGTTAAGTAATACAGAGGTTGCGCTGCCTTTGTACACGTCATAATATTCACTATCCTTTCCTGTTCACACATTTAGATAAAGTTAAAATTTTATAGTCACGTGAGAGGCGATGAAAGCTGAATATTACCTGGTTTTATCTGCAAAAGAAATTCTTTGCCGGGATAAATGAATGGACAAGCAAGAGGTGGTGTCCATTCAATGGAGATGGTGTTAGGATCAATTGATTTGCAGAACAGATGATCTGGTGGATCTGTTACTGTAAAAGACGGTTTTTAGCTCATAAATATAAATCGTCATTTATACTAAGCTAGTTTCAGTACTCGTGAAAATTTTATTTTATTTTCACGAGTATTGAAAGAACTTTAAATGTATTTCGTATTGTATGTTCTGACGTATAAGAAACGGAAAAGTAGTGTTAAGTTAGCCTCTAAGGTCTTACCAGTGACTATCTTCGCGCATGTTCTTAGTTCATTCAGTAATGTTTCATGTGTGGGAAACTGACAAGACAGTTTTTTTGAGATACAAGGATCGCTTGGACAGTCCAAGGTGAGAACACTTTTGACATCTTTTTCAACACTATCTTTCACTTCCGTCATGTCAAAATAGTCCAGACTCAACGCCTCGTCACATTTTCTACTTGCCGTCTTTGCTTGACTAGATATTTCTATCATAGAACTATAGAACACACTGATATAAAACTACAAATTTCGATGGGCATTTCTATACCTCAGTTGCATTGAGACACTCAATGATATTTTATTTCGTTTTTCACCTCTTCATCGTCAATCGTCCTCAACTGACGAAAGTATCTACTGATCAAATCTTCAGTTTCTATATCATTCTTTTTCACTGTTTCTATTGCCTTTTGAATGTCACTGCGACATTTGATGTACTTTTCTCCATACTCATCAACCTTTTCTTGCAATCGAGATAAACTGCGTTTATCTATATCCTCTGCATGATGAATGTGTACTATTTTGTGCCGTTCATGTGATGCTTCCATTTGACAGAACGTACAGCAAACTGTCTTACAGTCAATGCAGTACAATTTCAGTTTCTCCCCGTGTATTTTGCAGTCTGTTTGAAACAAGAAAGATCATTATGTAAGTGAAAAGCATGACAAACTTATGACGATTTAATATTTTAGTGAGTAGATTGGTTTGTCATTGTTTTTCTAACAGGATTAAACTCGTGATGATGTAATCAAGTGACAAGAATGATTAATTGACCTGGTAACGCGTCAAGCGAACTGTTGTATCGTTTTAACGTCGGTCGTCCTTTTCTTATAAAACCAGAGAATTCTTGCCTCGCTACAATTTCGTTGTTATTCAAATCTGCGGTTATTAAACGTATGTTATGCATTCGAAACTCTAACTGTTCATGTATCTCGTCTGAACACAAGCCACAGAACATTACTTGGCAATCACTGCAGATGAGTGTTACTGTCCTTGGAGGATAAACGAGTTTCCTTATGCAAAAATTACAAAGCTCCCGATCATCTTCGTTAGTCTTCATAGCTTCCATTAATAAATCATAGTTCTTCTTCAAACCCAGCACTCCGTTAGCAGGTAGAATAGAACGTACTTTACATCGAGTGCATTCTATAACAGCGCCCTGGTACTCCTCGAGTTTTAGCAAACAACCTTTGAAAGATTTAAGAGGAAAATGCTTAGTTTCATCTGAAGGCCAACGAAGATGCAGTTTTTAATTTCACGTCAATGCGTTTCTACAAACCTGTACAAAATGAGTGAGCACAATTTAAGGAGCGAGGAATACGTTCAGGAGGTTTCGATGCAAACTTTTTGTAACAGATTAGACAAAATAAATTCCTGTCTGCTTTTATCAACTCCTCGTTCATTGTTAATGACGCTTTTCTAAACGACTGTTAATACTTTAATTCTTTGTTTAAGTGAAGCGTTTAAAAGCAAATATTCAAATCACAGCAAGGTAAAGTATCTAGATTATCTTGCTTGTTGTTGCATGCCACCATGGTAACATTCCTGAAATATGACACTCAACAATAAAAATGTTTCAAATAAATTTTCTATAGGCAACAAAGAAATTATGTAGTTTTATTATTACTTTGTTAGAATAGCTCAATGCAGTTTAATTAATTGAAGGAATTATTTGTATTTTACTGCCTGCTCATGTTAGCTACTTAGCCAGACGGGGGACGAAATTTCTCAAAACTACACCTAATTCAGAACAGAAAACATGCTAGGAATATCCCTAGGAGAATGAAGGGTACAACCACTCAAGGTACGTTTACACCGCTTTACACACGACGAGTAGTCGGGCAGACACGCCATATTACGTGATTCTTGCCATATATGGAACATTTGTCGTGAAAGACCGAAATCTCCTACCGAAACGTTAACATGCGACGTTCTAGTGCCTTACGCTTAAGAAGGTATCGGGAAGCATGGACCGAAAACGGGGTTTTTTGCTTTCGAAGTTTATCTTTTCGTTTACACGATTTCTTCTCATAAAAGAAACTAAAACATCCAAGTATACTGCAAAGGTTCAAACAACTTCTGACTTTTTGACTTATAATTTAAACCAACTCTAGGCATATTTATACGTTTTTTACTTGTTACGTTTTACTATGTAACTTTCTCATAACTCTCTCGTGACGAACGACAGCCTCCTTATACAATATAACTCTCTCATCATGAACGAAAGCATCCATGGCTTTCATGGAAAAAAGAGATTATCTAATTTTTTATAATAATTTCTACAAAGATAACCTTTGATAAGCCAAGCAATTTGTATGGTCTAAATTGAATCTCGCTTTCAATTCTTATGTTATAAAATTTTTATTCATGTTGGATAGTAATTTTTTTACCTCACAATATTTTTATGATTCAATCTAGAAAGTAACTTCTCTTTTCGAGTAATTTTGCGATTAAACGGTACACTTTTCGGATTCAAAGGAATTCTTTTGATCGCAAAGAGACAACCGTCCAATTTGTTACGTATCTAAGCGTATATAAAGCATTTCCAAATCACGTACAAAATTTCCTTCACACGATCAAATTACCGTCTATTTAAACGATGTATGTAATAAGAAGTTACCCTAAACAACTGAAGCAAACCCTCCTTTTTTCAAGCATTTGCAACACCTCAAATTCATTACGAATTCTTGAATTTCTTGAAGCGTAGCCGAAAGGAATTAGCATCAAATCAGAAGACTCCATGACTCTACTTATTTGACACTTTGAGACTCTTCTCACAGCCATTCTGATTTCTCCCTTGATCTTTTTCAGCGTCAAGCTTATCTGAAGTGATGTTGTTGCTTAAGCCGTGCGACATGGGATTTGGAGAGACAAAAGGATGTCCAAGAAGTTGCTGTGCTGAGCATTGGTTGCTGTTCTTCGGATGTAGACGTCTATACAAAATATATGACATTAAAAGACAGTAGCTATAAATTCTTCGCCACTTTAGTTCTTGTTTTTCTTCATGATCTTCATCTATTCAAGTTAAAGCCTTGAGTGGAAGTTTTTTAGCATGGCTATCATATTGACAAATACATATTCCTAGAATAATAACTTCCTTTATGACAATGCCATTCAATAAAAAGGAACTTAGAAGTCCTAAACGAGCTTTTCAATTCATCCAAAAACCAAACTCTTTTTCCTTGACATTAGTTGACTTTTTTCGCGAAACATTTAGAAATGGCAGCTGCTGTTTATCAAAGACAAAGTCTTTTGGCTTGTTATTTGCTTCTTCAAATCGTCTTGCGCGATAAAGAGGTCGCTTGTATTTCTCAACGGTCGTTTCAGTTGTCCGGATAGAGAAAAATTCTATTTGAAATGTTCTTATACAGTCGCACGGGTCGTCTGTGAAATTTTGGCAAGACTGAAAGGACTTCGAGGACTATATGAGAACCAGGCTTTAGTTACACATACGTCCGGGTAGCACATACTCCCTGATAGAAGGGTGAAATCCTCTGGAAATTTGGCCTTGCAGAAAATCGAGCAGTTATCCGGGGAGACCGGAATCCTTATCATTGAATGAATATAACTAGATTTCACCAGTGGTTTTTACCTGGAAATTACTCCAGATTTGCCAAATAAAACTGAGAAAACTTAGATCAGTTAACTTACGTGTGACGTAACTTACGTCAATGTTAAAGCCACACAATAACAACTTGATTGTTGTTACTTGCTTACTTCTTCTTCTTCAAATTTGGCTTAAAATTGTTCGAAGCGTTTCTTAAAACTTATCAAAACGCTTTTTTTCAAAATGTCTAAAGGAGATAAATTATTATGTTATAACCGTGGCTGTGGAAAGCAGTACATAGAAAGTGAAAATTTCGAAGGTACATTTGAAATCCACAGTCCATTTGTACAAGAGTACTTTTTTTTCATAAAGACAAGACATCAATCATGTCAAGTTAGCAAACTTTTATGACTCCTGGCATTCACTTTAGCCACAATCTCAGGTATTTTTTATTGGCTTTCTATCTTAAGATGCGTGCCTTCATCATACAGGAGTGCCTGTCTTTCACGATGCCTTAAAAGTTAGTGAGTCTTTTTGATTATTTACGGCGAAAAGTCAAATCTTTCTGTACGATCAAAGGGTCGGATCGCAGACCCACCTGTCAGCCCAAATAACTGATTCATTTTTTGGGATAATGTTTTCATTGCAGGGTTGGTCTTGCTGCTCAAGAAGAGTTACAGATTTTACTGAATTTCTCAACATGGCTGTATGATAAATAAGGGTGAAATTCTGTTATGGTCTGACATTTCAACTGAGATAAATTCCTTTGTTTAGGGATGCACCAAGTCTAGACACTCCAACATCAAGCCAATAGACCCTGAAGTAAAGCTATCACCTGTAAAAGTTTCACCTAAATGCTCAACAACAACACATCGTAAAGCCCAACCACAAGAAAGTGAACCTCGACCACGGTACTGTTATAGTATGGTTCTTCTGAAGTAAAGTTACCAAAGACTTAATCTTTTGCATTTAAGATCTTGAGATTATTTTAAACCTATGTAGTTTTAGCCATCATAGGTTGCCAAGTTGTGACCTTGTCTTATGTTGATTAAAGTTTCTTTGTACCATTCCTATTTGTATTAATAAATGCTGTTAAGGAGGGTTTGGTTTATGGGCTTGATTTTTGTTAACTAAATAGCACAAATTAATATTTGTAGTGATGATCTTCCATTTCAAAGAGTAAAATATAAGATTACTGATTCACTAAAGAAATTGTTGGAGAAACAGGATGAAGAAATTGTTGAAAATGAAGGTGCTTTTACCTGTGATCATTATCAATTGACTTTCTATGTTTTGTTCATTGTTTTTTTGACATCATTTCAGAAAATTTGGAACCTGGAGTGATAAAGATAGGAACTGTATGCAAAAATAATGGATGCAACAGTGTAAGTGCCAGGGATTTTTTGTTTAATCTTATTCATGTCTTATAAAAATTCAGTTTTTTTCATTTATAGGTTTATACGTCTGAAAAATCTAACAGTGAAATTTGCATCTATCATCCCGGTGTACCTGTCTTTCATGAAGGGTAAAGAAAATAAATCTTTTAGAAAGGTGTTAAATGATGATGTTAAGTAAATGGTTTAAAGAATGGTCAGTGAATGGTGTTAAATGAGCAATCATAAGTGTTGTCAAATGGTGTGAAATGAAAGATTTTTAAATAGATTGTGTTAAACAATGATGTTGAATCATGTTAAAGGAATGGTGTTAAATGAAGAGTGTTAAATGATGATGTTAAGTAGTATTGTTAATAAATGTTATTAATGATCAATACAAGTGTTTGATGATAAATGATCAACATTGTCAAATGATTATCATTTATACAAATTATAGATACAAATTTTGGAGTTGTTGCCTACGAAAGACTAGTGACTTTGATGAATTTTTAAAACAAGAAGGTTGCACTACTGGCTCACATCTCTGGTTTCAAACAGACGAGGTGAGAAGAAACTCTTCCTTGTTGTATGAATGTAATTCAAAACAATATAATTTTTACTTTCAGCAAAAGAAGAAAGCAGTCAACTGCAGGTTAATGATGACACTAACAAAAATACAAAAGCAATGTACATGTCTACATCATGAGCTTTGATCACTTTAGATTTGACCACTATCAAATGGGAGGCTTTGTGGTGATTACAGTTTATGCAAAGCTTTGTAATCCTAAGAAATCTTTAGTTGAAACCAATTTAACGGGTGTAAGTAACGATAATATTAATAAGGAGGAAAAAGTTCTCAATACAAAATGCGGCATGACAAAATTTCTTCTCTAGCTCAAAGCTTCTCTAGTGTTTGGTGGTTCATCTACATTTAATATAGACATCAAATTACATGGGGTAGGTTGACTGTAAAGTTTTACATTTTCTCATCTCTACATATGTTAAAAAATAAAAATTGTCTTGTCATGTTTGTTTAGGTCATTGATCCTGAAAAGAGCTTAGTGACATTCTCACCAACGAAGGTTGAAATAAAACTGAAGAAAAAGCATGCTTCCAAATGGCCAAGTCTTGAATTGAAGAGTGATCAAAAAAAATCAAGCTGATGGCTATGTAAAGAATTGTCCGAGCAGATGGTCAAAAATGGAGTCCAGCCAAACACAATCCAAGCTAAATATCAGCTATTCCTTATATGTATTAGCAATAAATAATTGTATCTTTTTGTAAAGCTTTAATTTTGCCTAATGTAAATATACGTAAGTTGCTTGAAAATGAAACAAAAAATTGCTTTTAAGATTTTCTTCTATTCTAATAATTTTCTCTTCCAATTTATGTAGTCTTCCATTTCCTTCTGTTTTTTCTCTGTTTCAAGAACTCGAATTCTTTTATTTGATGACTCTGTGGAAGCATGGAAAGAGTTAAATAATAAATGATAACAGATATATCCAAATGCAGAACCTTTCAGTTGAACTCACCACTGTTTGTACTCTTTTCACAACTTTCTTCAAGCCAACTGTACGGACGTTTAAACTTTTTTCCAGTTTCTATACGTAAGATTTGAAATAGTTAAGTTCACGTTTTTTTATTGTTCTTCGAATGTGATAACAAACCTGACATCTTTTCCATAACTGGTTTTATTTGCTTACACACTTTGTCAAACAGGGACCTTTTCACATTGATTTTATTCATCAGCTTTGTCTTATCTATACGCACTTTTTTACTTCTAAAAGGCAAAGCAGTTTTTAATGCCAATAATAACCAATCATCACAACCTTATAAATGAAAATCATTGATGTAATATAACCTGCAAACAATATAAAATGTAGCAGCCACAAATAATGGTTGGTCCAAATCTATGCCACTATTCTGAGTGGACTTGAATCTGGAAATAAAGCATACTAAATTGTCTTTTTGCAATGGCAATAAACACAACCTACATTTTTAGTGGTGATTTGCAAAGCTCAAGCACAATTACTCTTCAATTTTGTAAAAAAATAGTTACAATAAACAGTTTGCATAGCATGACAAAAAATTAGGCTATGAACAAGTAATTAAGATATTCTATAATTTCACTTACTTTTCAAAAACTTTCTTTGCATAAGGTGCAGCACTTAAACATCCAAACATCACTGCAAGATCTTGTAACGAAATACGTTTTTCTTGACCAAGGATACTTTCAACAGTCTTATAGGCATTGCAATAAAATTTCTTTGTTAATCCCGATAACTGAATTGAAGTGTCCTGTCAAATAAAATGAATGATTTCAACACGATCACACGAAGATACTAATATTGAACGTTTTGCTTTCCTAAAAAAACGAACCCGTGAAGTTGATAATCCAGAAGAATTTGCTGCTATTTCCAAACATATTACAACAATGGCTGTACTAGTCAAATTCAGAGATGACAGACTGGACCCACATCTTACTTCAACGATACGTTGAAACTCGTCTGCTTTTCTCAGTACATCATCACAGACTATATTCATTTTACGACTGAAGATTGCAAGTATGCTGTTGCTCATTTTAAACACTAGCAAATAAAGATTCTTCCAAAATTATTGTGTATTTTGACAAGTATTTTGATGAGTAAAAATATTTTATCACATAACATCACATTGCTGCAAGATTCCCGCCAGTTCCGCCAATTAGTTTGTGTTTCCATTTGTACGAAATACACACGATTCTTGAATAAGCGCCGCAGATACGCATCTTACACGTGACGGAAGATATATGATTTATAGTTGTTTATATCAGGGTTTATCCCCGTGCACGAGGATGGACAGATTTACATGTCGTACTTTTTCTCAAAACCCACGCTGATCCTTTCCCTTCAGCTTCTATCTTGTTTTCTCGAGTCGATCTTGCTTCATCTTGCTCTTAACTCCAGACTCTAATTCTTCAAGAACCTGAATATACCAATTGTCTTTTCTCAAAACAAGCCATTTAATTTCTTGGTCTCTTCCTCTATTTGCTTTCTCTATTTGAAGCAATGAGTCTTTCAATCTCATTAATGAGCTCTTAGTCATCGTCTATCTATCTTTTTGCACCACACATTATTGTCACCATTTTTCTCTCATTTTTTCTCAAGATTGCCATTTCATTTTGAATTGGATACCATGTTTTACTAACTCTAAATAACCACTTCTTCCAGTTTTGGCAAGATCACTTGAGTTCAGGATCTCCGCCCATCTTAATATCTTCAAGCCAATTGTTACTCTTGTTGTCAAAGCAACCTTTCGACATCCGAATAAAAGAAGCCTCTCAAGGTTTCCAACTTTTATCCAGCTATTGCAATGAATTATTAATCATTTGGCTTGCTATTTGCATTTTCTCCACACAAAGTCTTTATCCAATTTTGTTTTTTTTTACTTTTGCACATTTCCATATGCATATCACATAACACTACAATGAATGACTTTCTGCAAATACTGCCTTGACAAAATCGTTGTTTATTGTTCAAGTGACGATGTGTGACGGAAGATGTCATTAAGTGATAGTAAGTGACGTTGGGCGGCAGTTGTTGATAGTAAGTTACAGTTGGTGACAGTAGTTGATAGTAAGTGGGTGACGTTAGTTGACGGCAGATGACGGAAATGACAGTAGTAAATGACGGTAGTTGAAAGCGGGTGACGACAGATGAGAAGAGATGATGGTAAGTCACGCTAGGTAACAATTTAGCGTTGTATATTTCGTTAATATCAGGTCCAAGGCAAGTGAAAGTCAATACTGGAACGCTAATACGTTATTTTCATGAGCCAAAAAGTTATTTTATTTGCACAATTAGTGAGTACTGCTCCATTTACACTTTTAAAATGAGGCATACATATTTTAGCTTAACGAGATGCAGTCAGAGCAGAAAAAGTTGCCTTTTTTGGAACTAGTTACAGTGAGCAATTGTAACTCGTTACCGCAACAACATTATACTAAAAAATTGGTAAATAGTTACAAAGTAATTTTTAATTACAAGTCTACTGCAATCATACTTTACTGTGGATGAAACAGATAAGATAGCCTACAGATGGGTTAATAAAATTTTACCGATAACTTCATATTTTTTTCAACAATAAATTATTATCAGCGGATCAAGAGGAATGAGACGAAGCTTTTAGTAACAAGAAATGAAAATACTTGTAAGTGAAGTATCAGTCCTTTTCGACACTCAAGCGATAAAACTATCATAAAAAATAACGAGAAAATAACGTGAGCGATGCACGCTTAAGTAATAAGGCGTTACAGTTACGTTTTTAGAGAAAATTACTTTAACCGGTTGTAGTTAAAATCACTCAATTGCAAACTTGTAACTAGTCACTCATGAAGTTATCATGAAAAGTTACCATTAATTGTAACGAAGTTATTTACAGCTCTGGGTGCCGTTTATGAGAGAGAGATAATTAACATACATTTGGTGACAACAGGGTGACATTTGATAAGGGTAGTTAACAGTAATCAACAGTGGATAACAGAAGGTACATAAAATGACTTAATGACAATGGACGACGATGGGTTACAGAGGACGATAACGATACATGGAACCATAGAACATGGACTTACTTCCGCACTAATTGTAATTTTATGTTTTTAATGATTTTTTCACCCAACTTTTTATTATTATACGACTACTTTCCCCCCAATTAAATGTAACTAATGTCTTAATTTATGCACAACAATCTTTTTTATTCATAATAAAAAAATAGAGGTCTGTATATAGGCGCTCTGCGGTTGGCTTATCACGAGGAAGACGTTCATCGCAAATAGTAGCCCATACAAAAGAATGATCTTGTTTCTACAGTGATTGAAATGCTAGCTAATACTCTGACTGAAAACCCTCGCTGGACATCAAATCTAATTCTAAATTGACGAGCACGTAGCTGTATTATAGTACAGTGGAATGCTGGGCATGTGACATGTCCACGGGTGTTGTTAATTTTTACGGCCAAGTTATTGTTGTCCTTTTAAATTTCTTTGGTCGACTAGAATAACTATCATTACTTGAGTAATGCGATATAGCATGCTCATTCATAGGTTTTTGGAAACACGTGACGTCTAACTTTGTTATTTTGTTAAGACAATCTGTCGTTGGGCTTTTCAATGTTACTCTTCCTTCGTATGGTTCATTCGAGATTTCACCTACTGCTTCATCCGACATGCTTTTCCTGAAGAAATAAAGTGAAATTTTTTCTGTGCTCTTGTTGATGTAGAATTATTGCAGAAATACCTTTTGGTTCCCGTCGACACACGATCTCGAGGAAGTCTCATGGTCTCTTTTCGTCTCGCTCGTCTTAATTGCTTATCTCGCTGAGGAAGAGGGACGACAAACTGATGACACAGCGTCACAAGCTCATCCTTTTCCTTATCCTTCAGATCCTGCGGTAATAATCCTCGCGAGCATAAAATTTCACGAAGTTTTTCTGGAGACAAAATCTCAGGGTGACTTAGTTCATCACTTGTCATTTTTGTTTATGTTCTGATCTCTCAATCAAGTCTGGATGGATATACGTTGTGAAAGTTGTTGCCTAGCTACCAATTCATCGTTTGTTTTTCTTTTTCCTCGAGAGGCTCCATTGATTTTATTGACAAAACAAGGATAACTTTTTGAAGATTACTTTATAAAAAGCGTTAGAAATGACTCAAGTCATTTCGCAAAATAATGACGGCACAAGAACGTACACATTTGCTAGCCAGCCGCGACCTGTAAAGCAAAGAAAAAAGTATAGAGATCCAGAAGCATACGAGTACGCGTGGTTCTAGTAATCGACTTTATTGTTTCAGATAATATTTATACAGCCGTTTCTTCTTTTGTATGCGTTGTGATTCTGATTAACTAATTTAGAAATGAAGGTCCATTGCCGTATGGCAATATCATGTATGATAGAAGAATTATCCGTGGAAATACTTACGCTCAACATACGTTACCTGTTGTAAGTTTATGTAATATTTCTTTCTAATGTTTTACCATAATCTTACATTTTGTTTGAAATATCGTATATATAGAGTGCTCAACCAGATCCCATCGAGATCCAACGTCAGCAGGAGGCAAGGCGTCGCGCTATAGCAAGAAAACGTGCTAAGAAACAATTGGCTCCCAAATCCCCTGAAGCAGTTGAAGGTCGTAGACATGTTGATGTACAAACAGAACTATATCTGGAAGAACTGACTGACCGTGTCGAAGAAGCTGATGTTGAAACTCAGACAGATGCCTTTCTTGACAGACCTCCATCACCTTTATATATTCCAGCCAAGACTGGTATTGATGTTTCCACTCAAATATTACAAGGAGAGGTAAATTATTACAACTTAAGATTTTACTTATGAATGGTAACACATATAAGCAAATAAATTCATCTATTCCTGTAGCTTTTTGACTTTGACATCGAAGTGAAGCCCATTCTTGAAGTATTGGTTGGCAAGACAATGGAACAAGCCCTAATAGAGGTCATGGAAGAAGAGGAATTGGCGAATCTTCGCTCCCAACAACGTCGATTTGAGGAGCTTAGGAATGCTGAGCTTGTTGAGACACAAAGATTAGAGGAGCAAGAAAGACGTCATCATGAAGAGAAAGAAAGAAGAATAAAACAACAAATTGATGTTCTGAAGAAGGAAAAAGAAACAGCTGAAAAGATTGCAGCCAGAGCCTTTGCTCAGGTGTGACACTTTCACATTATGACTTATCTCTTTACATTCAATGAAATAATGAAATATTTTTTTCATTCTAGAGTTATTTGGCTGATATGATACCCTCTGTGTTTGGTTCACTAAATGAGCATGGATATTTTTATGACCCAGTTGAGCGAGGTATTTATAAGCATTATAAATTGATTCTTCTTATCAATATTAATGCATTCTTATGGGTGGTTAATTGTAAATAATTGCAGATGTTGAAACATACTTCATGCCATGGTTAGAAGAACAAATACAAAAAAATTTGGATCGTTATCAAGTGGCTTGTCTCATGTTGGATTGTAAGTTATCTCAAACTTGACAGTTAATATTACACTATAAACTCTTAACAACTACATATTTTGTTTATGTAGCAATGATCAGGAAGGTGGTTAAAGGAAGACTTGACTCTTATAGTAATTTAGAGCAGTTGATAATGAAATCAATAGAAGAAAGCTCTTCGATGTTTAATGCTGAAGGAAAGCAGGAGGAAAAAAATTCCACCGATGTGGAAGTTGGACAAGGTCTGTTAAACCTTTTTGTTGACAGTTATTGTTTCACTATCATTTACAGAGAATTGCAATTATTAGGTGACAGTGAAGGAGTTGAGGATAATAAAGATAAGGGGCTTGAGGAAAAAACAAAGGGTGAAGTTACTGAGGATGATGGTATGCAACAGGCGAAAGAAGAGACTGTTAATGCAACAGAGGAACAAGCAGATAATGCTCAAGTGAACGAACAAGCAGATAATGCTCAAGTGAACGAACAAGCAGATAATGCTCAAGTGAACGAACAAGCAGATAATGCTCAAGTGAACGAACAAGTGGATAATGCTCAAGTGAACGAACAAGCAGATAATGCTCAAGTGAACGAACAAGCAGATAATGCTCAAGTGAACGAACAAGCAGATAATGCTCAAGTGAACGAACAAGCAGATAATGCTCAAGTGAACGAGGATGTTGAGGAAGAGCAGTAACTATAAATATACATAACAATTTCACATAAAAATGTTGACCTCACTCCAGGCAATAGACAGATGTAAATAGCTTTCATTGAGTTGTTAGGGACAATTGTGTATGAGGAAAGAAACATTGCATAATATGCTGTCAACCAAACACACTACATAAATTATAAATCTATATTCTTTTATTTATTAATGTCACGTGACTTTGCCCAAAGCATAAACAGCTATCATTATATTAGTTGCCAAAAGGAATGTGCCAATAGCTAAAATAATGCCACATAATGCATTTCTTGTTCGTATATCTGGTAGATATTTACTTAAACTAAAATCAACAAAAGCATAAAGAATCCATTGTCCATCAAGCCAATAGCATGGAGTGGCATTGAGGAGAGCTAGAGCCCCTGACAATGATATCATATACCTAAGTTAAATGAAGTTAAGAAAGATCTCCAACAATTACCAAAAATTAACAAAAAAATTCTAAAATTCCCAAAAACAAAGGATACATTGAAAATGTTTCTAAGACCATTGGTAATTTCAGAGGAAAATACTTCCAAACTGGTAGATAATCACCTGTATAAACTAATAAATCATATCTTGTTATGACAATCAAATAAAACAGCTAACTTAACCACCTAAATTTAATTCCAAAATGTAAATATTTTATTGTTCACTGACTTTAACAATATTTAATTGATTTCTCAAAAATGAATGATTACGGCAATGATTTAAAGTTACATATGCTCGCACATTGGCAATAATTATCGTTCAGTAGTTAAAAAGCTTACCTGAAAGAAATAATAATTTTGGATCACCAACAAACAAAACATCCTGTCCTTTATGATGAGATATTTTGATGAGACGACTGGAATTATCCAGCAAAGGATGAATGCAAACTTTGTCACCTGTCAGGAATAACTTCATATTAAACCTTATATGTTATTGGTTTCCCTGATGACAAAACAAATCAATCACCTCCTGCATCTGGGCATTCACTTGGATGACTGCAGATATTGTCTGACATCATAGTTCTCACAGGAAGACACGAATAACCCTAGAAGAAATATTTCTGGTGTCATTTTGTTCATTAATACCACATGTTTGAGATAAATCATTAAAAGATTTTTCTGCCTACATGTTGTCCAAGGCTTGAATGGTAAGAAAAACAAAACCTTGAGGCAGTAAGGTTACCACAACAATCTTCCATTTTCTTTGATTCGTAATTCTCCTTGTCTACATAAGGATGAATGTTGATATAATGACATAATGAAGTGACATGATACATTGATCACAATTTATTAATGTACAAGGACGTTTCTGATTGAAGGATAATTTCTCAAATAGAAGCATTACCAAGAAATGAATTTTTCCTTGTCATTGTCAACATATCTGTACAATATCCATGTTGTTTTTTCAAAATAATTTGCTTTAAACATGAATGCCAATCCTCAGCTTGTGTCACATGGCACTTATGAACAGAGGTAATATAGTCACCCACTGAAAGACTTTCCTCAACTGCCGAACCCTAAGGGAAAACTTCAAGTTTCAAGTTAAAATTTCAAGTTTGTAAGCAAACACAAATTGAACATTGATATATACCTTGATTGACTGTAAGATAACAGCTCCACGACCTGTAACATATCCAAGAGAAAGAAGCCAGGGAAGCATTTGCAAAAAGCCATAAAAAAACAGAGCAAGAATGAAGTTATGCCATATTCCAGCACAATAAATACGTAGCTGTCGCATTGGAGTGATCACCATCAGATGTTCAGTGAAAAGATCAACAAATGCACCAGGATAGAGAACCATAAAGAATATACCAAAACCATTAACTCGTACTTGTTCTCTGAAAGAAATCACAGTTAATAATGACGGTATGTACAATTAAAAATTTGAAACATAAACTCTTTTGACATGGTTACCTTACTGCTGCTAATGCATGACCAATTTCATGCACTATGCCTGCCATGAATAATGTTGAAAAATAATAAAGAATATGGCTCAATGGAAGATTAATTCCTGGCATAACTGGAATTAGAAGTTGTTTGGGTGATGTTTGGTGTAGTGCATTTATCAACATGCCAGATAATACAATTGTGGACATCACCATAGCAACCACACCAAAACAGGCACCAACTGTGAACCATAGGATGTTGAAATTGGGGTAATATTTACCCCAGCGATAGAAACAACGGTTCAGTTTGGTTGTATACCATCGAATGTGACCAAAACTGAAGGTTACGCCATTTTCCTTGAGCAGATGAATATAGGTCTGGGATAGTTTACGATACTTCTATGAAAATACAAAGTTAAATATTGTAGTATATATTACAGTTTCTTACTGCACAAGGTTAAGAATAGATGAGCGTCAGGGAAGGTCACGAAATTTCCTTCATGTAAAAAGTGAATAAGAGTTATTTACCTTAAGAATGAAATCCACCAAGTAAATAATTGTCCAAAATAATATAACGCTAAAAATAATCGGTACATCTTGCATGTTGTTTACTTATTTAACCTCATGCCCCATTTCTCCCCCATCCCCTGAGAAAAATGATGTCAAGAAGTACAGGGGACCGACCGGTGCGAATAATGAATTTGGCGGAGTTATTACTGCTGACTACAGGTATTGTCGGCGCGGTCGTAGACCGATTATCAACATGGAGAACAAGGAAGAGGAAGAACGACAAGAAAACAGTACTGAAATAAATGATTTAAATGAGAGCAAACAAACATCGGTATGATCATGATTTGTAATTCATCAACTTTTGTTTAAGGCTGTTTTAGTATTTTTTTATTTTGTGTAACTTAAGCTTCTCCTACACAGGTATATTATTTTTTAGTGTTTGACTTTGTTAAGTATTCCAATCCATTGTTTTTGCAGAAACTGAAAGAGATTTTCTATCATATTTTTAGAATGAATTGATTGCGGTTAAGTCAAGTGCTGTAGTTAAATATGCTAAGATGGGACCAATAGAGACTTACTCCACATTGGAACTTGTAAGTTTAACTTTGTACATAATTCATGTGCCAGAAGCTACGAGTCTTAATTTAATGTAAATTGTTTTTCGCAGAATACAGACATCAATCAACCACCACATAACTGGCTTCATGACAATCTTCAAGGAAGGTTTAGCGAGTGGACTTCCTCAAGACATGATACTCCAACTGACTTATCAAGGTGATTATAAATGCGACATGTTTCTAGTTTTTGTTTTTGTTTTAATTGTAACAGCACTTAATGAAAACTTGCTACATCTATTTTGCTGTCTCTTTTTACAGTTTTAACCTAGCACATTCATTCCTCGAGAATGTTGATGATGTTGACATTATTTCTGATGCCGAGGTTAATATATTTGTATTTGTGTCATTTTTTTCATACTTTTCAAAAAATACTTTGGGTATTTTCCAGAACATCAAGAAGTTATTGAAAATGCCATTCAGGTGAAAGGATTATTTTTTTGTATAGTAAAAGTTACTGGCTTTCTTTAAAAATGTTATTTTTTCCAGCAAGAGAAGCTTGAGTTTGAGTGTGAACAAGATTGGTAAAACTTTACTTCTTGATGAATTTGATATTCAAAATACTCTTAGCCAGGCTGTCAAGGTAAAGATGCCTTTTGAATAATTTTCGAAGAACCAATCATCATTTTAGGGAATGTAATGTTAAATTTTAGAAAGAAAAACTTGACAGTTTAAGTTGGCTTCAAGATGTGTTCTCAACGGAGGCGAATATGTCGAAAGTTTGTTTAATTTATGGCATTTGATTCATATTTCATTCAAAGTTAATTTATTGCAATAATTTTCATTTAGAATCAAACAGTTCAACGGAGGAAAAAAAATCCTGAAAATAGTCGAGAACGTAACATGATGTCAAAGTTTCTTTGCTATAGGTATAATATTTTTCTGTTATACTCATCTACTCTATCTCTTATCCTTCTTCTTTGTTGTCAGTTCTCCTGAAGGAAATTTAGATGAAGGTCCATCGTCGTGTATTGCCACTGGACCAATTACAGAAATTGAACAATCCAGTTTATGTAGAGATCTGGTTCCTTTCCTACCAGAACCAGTTCTGAAGGTAAATTTTCAATTTTAAAGTTTCTTTCTGTTGAGAAGTTATGACAATGACGATTCTTTGTTTCAGCCCCAAGAAAAGTCTCAGTTTCAACGAAATGTTCTCTGGAAGTTTGAAGATACGAAGATGTTGATTGGCTCCAACATGCCCATATTTGGGGGTGGAAAATATCCATCTGTGAGTTTGAGATTAAAGTAAGCAAAATTTATCAGAAAGTGTTTAGTAAAGGTGTGTCGAACTGGGTTTTGACATCCTTTGGGGTAATTACCTTTAAATTCATTACTGGTATATAGAGTGACTATCAGGTTGGCTCTGTGTATTGAATGGTTCATATATGTCACAAAGCTGTTTGTAAAAAAACTGTAAATGTGTAGTTGTTTAAAGCAGCTCTAACCTGAATGATCAAAATCTATAAACATGTGACAATACTTCTGAGCTTCGATTACTGTCTTGAAATTTTTCTCAAAATCGCCTACTAGCACCCAACTTTGTCAGTCAGTAGCCCCCTCCCCCCCTCAAACTTCACATGCAATATAAATATGCTCTGCTGCCCTTAAACATGTTGATTGATTGATTGTAGTGACTGTAGCAAGCCCATAAATGTCTTGACTGGTTTGGATTATTGGTTAGATAATTTAATGTGCAACGTTCCCGAAGTGGTCATGTGTTTTCATATGGATGGAATAGTTCAGGTATGATCTAATAACTTCAATATTATCTTGATTTCAGTTTGTTTGGAGGAGAAATAACTGCTGTTTGGTTCTTTTAAAAAAAAGAACAATCTAATTGCACTAAGTTTAATTATGTTAATGCGAAGCGTCCTGAACTTGCAAAGTTCTGCGTGAACCAATGTGTGCTTGTTTTGATTGTGTTTTTGAAAGTTGAAGCTAAATGTTAAAGCTTTCAACAGTTAAATAATTAGGATAACAAGTAGTTTTAGTAATTGTACATAATTGATTATTTGTATACAATAAGCTGTAGCGTTACCAGCCTGCAGGTTTTGCTCTTGCTCTGTAAATTTAATCATTACTAATTTCAATAGAAGTCTGTTGTTTTTGCAGTATGTGAACAGAGAAAATTTTACATAACCGGACCGAATATGCGAGCTGGCTACGTACGTCCAAGGGCGTAATTGGACGTTTTCAAACGTTAATTGAGGGAACTGTATTCATATACGTTCTCATACGCCAAGCTGACCTATTTTTGAAAATGAAATCAGTTTCAAAAGAAATTAGCCAGGCATTACTGAATATATGAATATGTAAACCCCCAACATAAAGTTGGATTGACGCCAATAGCTACGCCACTGACAATATGATGCAGGATCCATAATTATAGCAGTACTTGATTGAACTGATAAGGTTTTCATCCTGTTAAAATAAATGCTATTCAGAATACGTATCGTACAATAAAGTCAGTGTCATGGTGATGTGGAAATTTCTTCTTTCTAGAAATATGAGCATTACAAAACAGAAGATTTACCAAATATTGAAGGAAGCCAGTTTTCTCCTAAGGTTTAAATGTACATTAAATTTCTTTGTCACGTGTCTCCTTCATAATCTTCATAACTAATCTTCGTGCCTTTTTTAGTCTTTTAAATTTTTTTGTAGTCTTAGTCTTTCAATCTTCATAACCGTGTACTTTTTAGGTCATAAAAGATGTCGCTCGAAATATCCTGTCATTTTTGAAGTCCAACTGCACGTTGGAAGGACACACGTATTGGTTGTTTAAAGGTAACGATCTGCAGCGTGATTTTCATGGGAGATGATAATTGAGCTGTTTTTCTCACGGGATTGTTTGTTCTCTTTTCAAGGCAATGGTAGCGACGTTGTAAAGCTCTATGATCTCACATCTTTATGTGATAAAGTAATGTGAATTTCCCCTTTAGTTTTTGTAGGAAAAACCAACGCAATTTTTGTTTGTCTTTTTAGCAACTTTTTCTTTTTCTTAATGTGTTTGATATTTAACCATAGGCGTCAGAAGATTCGGACAATCCTTTCAGCATTCCAGTGGCAATGTTGTTGTATAGGTCAGTGTTTTATACTCTCCGTTGTTTTCTAATTAATTTTTAGTTTGAACTAATAGAAAGTGAGTTCATGGCTGGAGAGGTTGCATGGCAGGATAATTGGATATGGCATATGGATATAACAGTGGATATGACTGGATAATGGAATATTCCTTAAGGTTACGACGTTTTCTTTTTTCCTATTTTAAGAGTTGCTAAAAGTATGATGAATCAATCAGAGATGAGCGAACGAGACTCCAACATGGTTCAAGTGTTGTTGATAAATTGTCTTGATCTTTTGAATAACGCAATACATCCAGATGATCATCTTGAGATCATCACATCCTCTCATTTCCTATTGGCTGAAATGTATTCGATGACCAATCTGAAGTGCGAAGATGGAGATTGTTGTGAGAGTCCTGATCTTGTGTCAGATGAGGATGAGTTACAATGGCCCAAAGTAAGTACTCGCTTTCATTTGTCATAGATGTCTGTAAATTATAATCCTTGCATTATATGTCTTATTACTAACATTGCTATTTTAGACAATGACTTTAAATGAATTCTCAAAATCAGAAAGCTTTGAAGAGCCTTATAAAGAGGTACGTGTGTAGAGAAGGCAACTTTTGTATTTTATTAGCTAAAGACTTCATTGTGTGTTTTTTTCATACAAGGTCAAAAATGTCAAAGGTCCACCACATAAAAGACTTCAGTTATCTCTGTCTCATGTTGTTCAGGTACATTAGTGGATAATAAGAATGTTTTCATTGTTCAGGTACATTAATGGATAGTAAAAATGTTTTACTGTATGAAAGTGAATGTTATTATGTCTTTCACTATTGTGCTCAGGCTTTGCAAAATTTGCACAGAACAGTTCAAGACCCCAAGGAATCTAGTAAACGTCACCAAATCTTGCCTAGTCGTAGACCTTACCTTCTTGCCCTTCCTGACTCGACGTTTATGGCGAGAAATGGGGACGATCGTGCACAGCACGTGCAAAAAGAGATGACACCTTTGAATTTTAACTTCCGCCAGTGGAAAGGGACTTTTGAGTCTGTTCTTCTACGTAAAGCTACTGAACTGTTTTCTGAACTTGCATCTCTCGCCCTCGAAGATGGTGCTAATAATGCTGCTCTTCGGTTTCTGCGCCTTTCTTTACTATTACTTACTTCCATACGTAGTCTGGAATGGGTCAACGTTAATAAAGAAACTGATTTGCTACCCATAGTGCTTTGCAAATGTGCTGATATGTATATGTCTGTAGCGAAGACTCGTGATGTCTATCTGTCGACTTGCGAAGAGAATTATAGCAAGAGTTTAGAACACGAGCATTATTTTGCAACCAATTATCAAACTGCTGATAAAGCGGTGTATGATTTGAAAGTTGATTTAACGACAAGCGTTGTTGAGTTATTAGAGGAAAGGTAAGGATGATTTTGTTTAGTATTTTGCATTAACCCTCTATTGTGCAGCAAAACTTTAATCTTTTTTCAATCTATTACAGTGAACGCTTATATGAGCGAGTCTTGGATGTCTCTACTAGTTCTGATGACGTAGAGTATCTGGTGTCCGTTACCAGGAAACTAGGTTATGTTAGAAACGAACTTGGTTTGTTTCATATGAATACCGCTGTCAACACTACCGTAGCCTCGAACGAAATTCAAGCGATTTTGAAAAAAAGTTTAGACGCGTTTACTGCCGGCATCCGAGCTTTCGAGGCTGTGGATGACAGGTAATATGGCTGTAGTTGTTACCAGTATCATGGTTGTGTTTTCTTGTTGACGAAATATGTTAAATGAATAAGGCTTCTCTAATGTCTTCCACACTAGCGCCTCTGTTCTAACTTAAAGTTCACTCAGACACACACTAAGTGAGGTTTCAAAATGTTCTTCGAAGACGGCATTTTCACTTCACTGATTGCATGATTTGATATGTTTTGGCAAAAATCTTGCTTTTGCAAGAGAAATTACTTTGCCAGCGCGATTTTTATATCGCTCTCAGTGAATGTGAGTGTGTTCTTCTAGCAGGTGGTTGATGTAGCGTCAGTCAATGGAAATTACCACAGTCTTATATAAATTTCAATATTTGTTTGATAAGATTTAGTGCTTGGAAATTCGTTGGCCGTGTCTTTGTTAAGAGGGTATTTTATAAGACTGTCAGCATAAGAGCATACAGAAGGGTCACTCGCGTCAGAACCTTTTATGTTTCGGCTGCCATTATTCCAGCTAATTGATGAGAGTTTTTAATATGTTCCCAACCACTGAAATAACATGAAGTCATTTCTTACGTCGAAATATTCTCAAACTCATTGCTCAGAAATGACGTCATGTTATTTTAGTGGTTAGCAACTGATGACAAACCCAAATCTATTGACTGGAATAATGTCGGGCGTGAGGACATGTTGCACATCTGAGTGACAATTCTTTATGATAATTATTCTGTGCTGTCAGTGTCACTTGTATAGGTATGTTAAAGAGAATGTCGACCTTAGACTAAACATTACACACCAATTTGTTATTATTTCAGAGCAAATACAGCGTTGCTTCACTCGAACTGTGGCAGATTAAAGCGTGCGCATGCTCAAATATTATTCAACGCCACTGAAAAACGAGGCAAGTTCACCATAACTGAAAGACAGTATTACGCTTCTGCTCTTGAACATTACAACAAATCACTTGGTGCGTTGAGAGAGCGGAAGCATTTTCCTGAGGTATGGGACCGAATCTCGTGGGAGTTATCCGGGACTTATTTCACTGTGGGAACTTTGGCTCAAGACTACTGTACTAAGGAAGAGACTGAAGCCGAGAGGGAAATATCAGACGTTTTGTTCAAGTCTTTGAAGTATTGCGAGGGATTGGTATTTCCAAATGAAGATCTTCAAAGATATGTTCAGCACAGAATCGGATCAATTCACTTTCGCCTTGCATCTCTTTATCACAACTCCTACCGTATGATTGTGAGTTTAAAGTGCATATGACCATATTTTGGGTTTTTATTGATTCTGATTAAACTCAATAAGTTGTATGACAACTCGTAAATTAGTGTTTGGGTAAAATGTGTATTTCCAGATTTGCAACCGCTCGACTACATATTTTAGGAAAAAAGCAGCAAAACTGGAGAACTGGAACCCATGAATACATATGTGGAAATTATTTTACAGTATACCTTTTGTACCTGCGCAGAGTTTGAACAGTTTTAAACTAGGCCTATATAGTAAAAAGCTCTATGACAATGCATAATTTACTATATAAATTCTATATTGTTGAAATTTCATTCCTGGGACCCAGGACTTTGGGTGTGCTTGATTTGTGTTTTTGTGTTTTAGCAGTGAAGCTGTTTCGGTTCTTGATTCTGTTATTTTTTTCTTTCTTTTCCACCAGAATACGTTTGAATCGAACTCTAAAAAAAAGCGCCATTTAGCGGAATATCATTACGGTAAAGCCAATGAATATATTGACGTCACTTTGTATCCGATGGAGTGGCTAAGATTGAATCTGGAACGAGTAGCTTTGATGGAACACCAACTGAGTGTGACGCGAGGCAAAGAGACGAACAAAATCTACGAAGCCATTTTGAAAATATTGTTTTCCTTAAAGAAAGTTTTCGTAGTTTTTGGAGAAGGTGGTGGGCTATCCGCTGATGAACATGTGAGCTTCTTCGGTCTTACGGGAGAGGAGGATAGCGGTAGTAGTACGCCAGAGGTTGAAAAAAGCAGAGATTGTAGAGTGTTGAATAAAGAAATCAGAAATTGTTCGACAGTTGATGAAGATAACAGCAATGACTGTACATTGAATGTGAATGAAGAATTCATCACTCTTGCAAAAATTTTCGAAACAAGACTAAAACACTGTTTGCAACAATACATCAAATATTGTTCGAATATGAAAAACTCTGTGAGCAAACAACAAAAAGAACGCGAGGACGTGTTAAAGCGAATGTTTGAACTCATGTTACGTGCGAGCGTTAAGCTGAAAACAAATGACGTTATTCAATTGTCCTGTTTCATCGTAGAGACTATCATTTCTGTAGAGAAAATATACGATAATCTTAAATAAATCTAAAACATATACTGTCTTTGCTCCATTAATGTAATTTTTTAATTAATGACGTCAGTAATTGCAACAAGAGACTCGTTTACCACGTCACAAATGTAATTGCTATTGGTGAAAAAAAATTGCTCGTGATTATACGGTGAAAAAATAACTAATAGACAATGTTGTAAGTTCCTTTTGTTTTTGTTTTGAAAAAAATTGTTCTAGCATGAGTAACCTTCTGTTGAACTTTTTGCAGTATTGTTACAAATCCACTTAATCAAGATCTTCGTTGGGAAGATTTCTTCCGCGATGCTCAAACACAAGTATATATCTTAAACTACGAAATAAACATTGTATTTATAAATGCAACGTATGCTGGCTTATAATTTCTTTCTAAGGTTAACGAGGAAGAGCTTGATGAGATCTTTCTGTCCAACAACGATGCAGTAGAAGATAGTGCACCATCTGTGAGAAAGTCTTCTGCCCCAGGGCCTTCAGAAAGTTTGGTTTCCGAGAGAAATCGTCATTCATTGGTTGCTCCTGAAATGGATACAGAATCTACTTCAATATTTTCATTGCCATCCTCTACAAGATCACATACTGATGAAACAACGGAGTTTACCCGAACTTTGTCTGGCAGCGTATGTATTTATTGATATTTATGTCAATTTGTTTTTGTGACACAATTTATCGAGTTCATGTTGATTTCAGCAATCCACTGTTAGTGAAGTCGTCTCGTGTCTTCCACGTAAGTCGGCCAGTCTTCTAACGACCATGAGTACAATCACCCAGATTCATAATCATGAAACATCAAAAACAACGTCGCTACTTACGAGTTCTAAAGAGAATGTTGACTTGACAAACATGCATAAACACCCTGTCGAACTTTCATCCCTTCTTGTCAGGAAAAACAGACATAGTTCATTTGTACCTTTAACGGAAAATTTGCCACTCACTGCATGTCAGTCTAGTTTGTTGCATGTGGACACCAATGTTGCTAGTTCAGAGGGATTAAAAGGCAATATTGGTTCAGAGATGAGAAAAAGCATTGTTGCTGGCTTCGAGAAGGCCGGCACTCCACTGAATACTACAGAAAACACTGAAAGCTTGATGAGTGTTTCGGAGAAAGTGGAAACTATTGTGGACGATTCAGAAAAAATGGACACTAATGCAGTTGTTTCGGAAAAGATGGACACCGTTGTGAATGGGTCAGAGGATACCATTGCTTCTACTTCAGAGAAAATGGATACCATTGTAAATGTCTCAGAAAATATGGACACCATTATGACTGGTTCAATAGAAACCAATGTTGATGTTTCAGAGAAGATGGATACCACTGTGAGCGGTTCAGACAAACTCCACACTGTTGTACATGGTTCAGCGAAGATGGACAACATTTTTAATGGATTAGAGAATGTAGACACCGTCGTGAATGGCTCAGAAAAGGTTTGTCTCAGTGAGGCATTTTTGAAGAAGATAGACTCCAACATAAGTTCAGAGAAGATGGAAGTCATTGTAAGTAATTCAGAGAAGATGGACACCATTTTGAATGACTTGGAGAGATTAGACAAAACGAAAGATGGATCAGCACTAATGGAAGCCATTAAGAACCGTGAAAAGACTAAAAACATTGTTTCTGGTTCAAAGGTTGCGGATATCACTGTAAGTGGATCAGAAAAGATGGACACGATCGCGAATGTTTCAGAGAAGAGGAATTCTATTGTGAATGATACAGAAAACACGAATCGCATTCTGAATGATTCAAAGAAAAGTGAAATCATGTCGACAAGTACAGGGAAGAGAGAGAGCATTGCTATTAATTCAAAGAACAAGAAAAGCAGTGTGGCAGGCTCGGAAATAGAAAATATCGTCACTGATATAAAGAAGACGAAAAACATAGAGACTGCTTTTGAGAAAACAGAAAACAACATGAGTGCCTCAGATGAGAATAAAGCTATTGAGACAAGCTCGAAAAAAATAATGGAGAGTAATGTTTCTAGTGTTTCATCCGTGTCGGAAAATGACGCCCAGTTAGAAGATAGCAAATCAATTATTGCTATTGGCAAAAGACGACGAAAGAGTCGACAGGAGGGAACAAATAAGAAAAGGAGGATGTCACTTTTTGATAAGATTGTGCAAGAAAGTGTTTCTGTTGATGCTGAAGCGAGATCTTCAACTAGAAAAAAATCTGTCGATAGCGCGATGGGTTTGTCTCCTGGGCCGTCAAAGAAATTGCGTGGAGCCAGAAGAAGCAGTTTGTGACGTAACTTAGTGATGTCATGCGCAAAAGAAGTATTACGTAATCTATTCTGAGTATTTGATGTTAGTAATGACGTTGATTGATAAACTACGATAAGCAACAAATCACGAAACATGAAAATTAAAATTAACTTTAGTAAAAGTTGTTAATGTTGTTTTTCTTTGTGACATGACTTTTTTACCATATCGGGATGCAAAAATTAGAGTCGATAAGAGAAAGATAAGATCACAAAATTCAAAATAAACATGGAACACTTAGACTAAACTAGTTTCAATGAATTTCATCTTCACTTCGGTAATTCAATCTTCAAACTTGACCACTTAAATTAATCTGAAGTTTTGAGATTTTACCTTGCTTATTAATTGCAATGCTAAATTTCCGTTTAGTCAGCATTCCATGAAATGTTTGTATATGTTCAAAAGGAACCATTATCTAATGCTCAATGTGTTCATCTACTTTTACACAAATACCTTAAAAACACTTGTGTCTTTCTTAACTCGCATTACCTTAACTGTTTGTAAGGAAACATTTTCTCTTTTTCTAACTCTTGTAATTCCAACCATTCTTGAGAAAACTTTGAACACTTAAGCTAAACCAAAGTTTTAAGATTTTTCTTACTTATTGCTATGCTTTATTGCCATTTAGTCATGCTCCAACAACAACAAAAAACACGTCCTATACATGCGAAAGGAACCATTAATGTTCAATATGCTCATTTACTTTTGCACAAATACCACAAAAAAACACTCTTGTCTTTATTTACTCACATTACCTTAACTGTTTGTAAGGAAATCCGAAACATTTTTGCTTTTTTTAACTCTTATAATTCCAATAGAAGACGTGATAAAAATACACATAAAAGCTTTCATTCAAATCGGATCAAAATTTTCTTGTTTTTGACCAATCAGAACTCGAAAAAGTACGTCCAATAACAATGCTAGAAACATCATCCGAACAACCAATCAAATCATACCCATGATATCATCAAATAAATCTTTCACAATTCATTCACATCCAGATGTGACACCACCTTACAAGAGAAAGGTAAGTTCGTAAAAGTTTCATTTATAATTAATAAAAATACTTCAAATTCCTATAAATTCGACGATAAACATGTCATTTCATGGATGGTTCTGTTCTAGCTTACTTTGAAACGTTTTTTGGGTGGTTTTTGGTGCAATTTGCTGTTTGACAGCGTTTCTCCGACTACGTTTCGCCTTGCGCGAGGAGTTCAGCGTTAGAAAAATAATAATTTCGCTGTGTTTTTACTTGTTTTTTGCCTACAGTTAGCTTTTGGAAAATTTTGAAGTAAAGTTTTGTCTAACATTTCACTTTTAACATGATTTTGAGCCTTTGGTGGTCAATATGCTTTAAGCGACGAGCTCGCACGACCGACATGGTTTCACTCTTAAACGCAAAAATTTAAAAGAATTCTCAGTCATATTCTACAAAAAAGCGAAATGAGGATTAAAAAGGTCATGTCTAACACCGTTGGCTGTTTATTTATTGCAAAAAACTGAACTTTTAAGCAAAAATATCGGAAATATAATTGTCGCATGACATGTCGCATGACATGTTTACCAACGCATCATGCAAATTTCGCGCTCTTTTTCTCTCACTAGATGATTGACATTAATTAGGCAAAGTCGATGTGCTAAACCTAGAAAAACAACCCCTCTAAAAAATCGTTTGTTTGAGTACAAAAGAAGCAAAAAGTTTTTCGGATCTTGGTTAATTGTTTAAATTTCACCGCATCCTATGCTAAATCCACGGATGCATTATTATAGTGAAATTCTCGGAAGCCGAATGTTTATGTTTGCACTGGTTTGCACCTATAGCCCACAATATTTTACGCATTCATGGGCGAGATATACCATTTTTGAGAAATTTTTAGATTAACATTTTCAATTTTTCTCAGAAACGAAATAAGAGGAATGTCGCCAAAGCCAGCCCGCTCCCAATCGTGGAAAAAGATATAAATATGCAAAGAAAAGGAGTACATTGGTATCAGATAAATACGGTAAGAAAATTCAAATGATTTTTCATTATAATAAACTTCATTACTTTATTTATTTATTATTTGCTATTTGCTTCATGTTACATGTATAAAAAACAAATGCGTAGCTACTTAGCGAATTTGAATTAGTTATTTCACATCGTTAGCTGAGTATACTAAATTCAAAATGCTGTATCCATGATGTTCAACTTGACTTGATTGGTCAATTCAAAGAGACGATCAAATACAGAGTATTTTTCTTGATTTACTTGTGCACACATTCAAAACATATTTTGTCCGCAAAATATTGCAAAAACCAAATTTCTTTTAACAGTTAATAGCATAATAAAGTATTTTAATAAGACATAGTCCAGTACATACTCTCACGTATATAAAAGGGAGTAAAATTAAGTGCAACGTATAATGAACAAGATATATGAAGATTGGAAGCCAAACTTGAAGAGCATAGTAATGAAGTCTTTATGACTTTGTTCTCTTGAAATCTATATGATATCGAAAGAAATATGAATGCATGGTCGATGTTGTACTTGTCCATACACCAGCAACTTAAAGTCGTATTTTTCCCTAATAATTCCCATCTTAATTGCACGAATAGAATGTAAATTATTATAATTTTTTCAAACGATCCAAATGAAACTGATGATGAAGAATACAAATCACCAAGACGTCTGTAACACTCACAAAAGCATCTAAAGAGGAACATTCATGAAGAGAGACAACTCAAGTAAAATAAACTTATAGCCAATGGTTTAAAACAACGAAATCTTACAAGTTAATGTTGTTAGTGGTTGCTCATCGTTTTGCAAGGGCAGCATTTTCAGTTGTAAGTGGCTCATCGTTTTGCAAGCGCAGCGTTCTCTGTTGTGAGTGGTAGCTCGTCGTTTTGCAAGCGCAGCGTTCTCTGTTGTGAGTGGTAGCTCATTGTTTTGCAAGGGCAGCGTTTCAGTTGTTAGTGGTTGCTCATCGTTTTGCAAGCGCAGCGTTCTCTGTTGTGAGTGGTAGCTCATCGTTTTGCAAGCGCAGCGTTCTCTGTTGTGAGTGGTTGCTCATCGTTTTGCAAGTGCAGCGTTCTCTGTTATGAGTGGTTGCTCATCGTTTTGCAAGTGCAGCGTTCTCTGTTGTGAGTGGTTGCTCATCGTTTTGCAAGTGCAGCGTTCTCTGTTGTGAGTGGTTGCTCATCGTTTTGCAAGCGCAGCGTTTTCTGTTGTGAGTGGTTGCTCATTGTTTTGCAAGCGCAGCGTTCTCTGCTGTGAGTGGTAGCTCGTCGTTTTGCAAACGCAGCGTTCTCGGTTGTGAGTGGTTGCTCATCGTTTTGCAAGCGCAGCGTTCTCTGTTGTGAGTGGTAGCTCATCGTTTTGCAAGCGCAGCGTTCTCTGCTGTGAGTGGTAGCTCGTCGTTTTGCAAGCGCAGCGTTCTCTGTTGTGAGTGGTTACTCATCGTTTTGCAAGTGCAGCGTTCTCTGTTATGAGTGGTTGCTCATCGATTTGCAAGGGCAGCGTTTTCGGTTGTGAGAGGTTGCTCATCGTTTTGCAAGGGCAGCGTTTTCAGTTCTTTGGTACACCATCTTCTTTTCATTGAGAGTGAGTTGCAAGCTGGAAGACATGTTTCACATAGCCAAATTTGAAAAAAAAACACGAAGAAAAGTGAAAAGAAAAGCAAGAAATTTGAAAGCAAAGATTGCAGAACAATCCTTTTTGAGGAATAATATCAATTTAATTAAGACTAAGATCTTAGGAACTGTAGGAGAAATTTTGTAAATATTGCACGATACATTACTCCTTGCATGACAATATTTTTCCTGTAGGCTTCTATAAGCTGGTGTTAACATGTTTTGTGTCCATACATGTGTTTATATGCCCTACTATGATGAGGTATAGCCTTGTCTTGGATGACTAATTATGATATATAAAGCTGCATTGTCTAACACAGCTTTAACTCAAACAGATATCATAAAGTTAAAAGGTTTTTCTTTTTCATTGTTTTTGACCATACGACTTGCATGTAATTTTTTGACCCAAAGTGCACAAGTAAACCTCTAAAAATACTGCTGTTGTCGGCGCAAGAATTAAGATGGAACACTAAAACAGCTAAAATGATGCACAGACTAACGCAACACGATTATCTACCTAAAGAATGTGGTTAATGGCATAGATATATGAGCTTTCTCCAATCATGGATCAACGCTTCTGTTAATCTGCATCACGGATATGCTAAAGAAAATCAATTAGTAAAGATTTTTACCTCATGTGAACATTAAAATAAAGGTAAATGATGTTGATGTGTTCAAAATTTTTTAATTTGCAAACAGAGCTAGTGCATGAAGACACAATAGTTTTATCATTTTTAACATCGGAAACTTTCACTTAACAAACTAAATAATTCAACTAAATAAGCCAACTGCTAAAAGTTTATGAAAAGCAGTTTGTTGTTTAAGACGACAAATCTGTAGGTGCTCAAGTTTTTGTATGAATTTTTTTCTGACTAACTATTATAGTTTTTTTTTGCCATTCCTTGAATTTTCTCAACACTAGTCTCAAAAGAAGTTGATACATAATATAAGTGTGATTGTAAGATGTATATATTTTGATTTAGAATTACCTTAATCTACGAATATGATATATGAATCCTACGACTATTTTACACACTTTGTTTTGATTGAAATTCTTATTGTTTCCATCCCTTAAATTTTAGATGTTTTCCTTCACAAACTAAACCATCTTCACTACTGCTGAATATTTAGAAGAATCCGCTGGTTGCTAATGACGACTAACCTAAAGGTACAGTTCTTATCTTATAAAAATATTTCCTAATAGACATTTTGAGCTGTTTCTCTAGAGCTTTTAAAATTAAATGTAGACGATATTGTCAGAACGGATTTGCCAAAAAGCATGAAAGTGTTGACATGATTACGTAAATTTTTTTTGGAAAATGTTATAAAAAATTGCTATTATATTTTCACAATTGTTTTGTATTGAATTTTCGAAATTTGCAGTTTAAATCATTGAAGTGGATCACATCATGATTGTCGTGGATCATTCATATCCTAGTTGTCGTGGAATATGAGGTACTTAATTGTTTTGACCATTGTTTGCATTTTCACAAACCAACAAATGTAGGGATGTCCGGAAGTAGAGAATTGAGGGCAAGAACTGAGCAAATTTGTGGAAATAATCTGCATGTTAATCTATTTGATTGGGATGATAACTGTAAGTTCACACAAAAATCTTATCAGCAATATAAATGGAATTTGATTAGAAGTTCTTTTATTGTCAATCAACATTATTTTTGTTATAGTTTGAATGACGTTTGTGCAATCTCAATTTTTTTATTGTTTTGCATTAGATCGACCATTATGTATGACTGTCCTGGATTATAAATGGCTATCTTGGTTTACGTCGTGCTTATCGCGTTTTCTTTGCGGTTGTCATGGATTTTGTAAACTACGAATGAAAACGAAAGACAAAGTTTCAGGTGCAGCGTTTTATATTGTTTTAGTTAATATCCTGGTGATCAACACTAACAAAAGGAGGATTGAACATTGGTTTTCATATTTTATTGATTGCAGCGAAACGCAGAGCTTATTAGCGTTGATTTTTTAAAAAACTCATTCTATTGATCACCAGAATACATGACTTAAAAATTACAAAACTTAAAAATTTCGTAAAAGTTCGGTATGAAGTATGGCGAGATTATGTATCCACTGCAAAACGTTAAAAATCAAAATGCTACTTATACAAAGCAAGCACGCTTGAAATTTCGCAAAAATTCAGTATGAAGGATGGCGAGATCATGTCTTCACTGCAAAACGGTAAAAATCGAAATGCTACTAATACGGAGCAAGCACGCTTGAAATTTCGCAAAAATTTGGTACGGATGGCAAAATAATGGTGTCCACAACTAAACGTTACAAATCGTGAGCATGCCTAAAAATTTCGTAAAAATTTGGCATGAAAAAATGGCGAGATCATATCTTCATTGCAAAACGTTAAAAATCGAAATGCTACTAATACGGAGCAAGCACGCTTAAAATTTCGCAAAAATTCGGTACGGATGGCAAAATAATGGTGTCCACAACTAAAGGTTACAAATCGTGAGCATGCCTGAAAATTTCGTAAAAATTTGGCATGAAAAAATGGCGAGATCATATGTTCATTGCAAAACGTTAAAAATCGAAATGCTACTAATACGGAGCAAGCACGCTTAAAATTTCGCAAAAATTCGGTACAGATGGCAAAATAATGGTGTCCACAACTAAACGTTACAAATCGTGAGCATGCCTAAAAATTTCGTAAAAATTTGGCATGAAAAAATGGCGAGATCATATCTTCATTGCAAAACGTTAAAAATCGAAATGCTACTAATACGGAGCAAGCACGCTTAAAATTTCGCAAAATTCGGTACAGATGGCAAAATAATGGTGTCCACAACTAAACGTTACAAATCGTGAGCATGCCTAAAATTTCGTAAAATTTGGCATGAAAAATGGCGAGATCATATCTTCATTGCAAAACGTTAAAAATCGAAATGCTACTAATACGGAGCAAGCACGCTTAAAATTTCGCAAAAATTCGGTACAGATGGCAAAATAATGGTGTCCACAACTAAACGTTACAAATCGTGAGCATGCCTAAAAATTTCGTAAAAATTTGGCATGAAAAAATGGCGAGATCATATGTTCATTGCAAAACGTTAAAAATCGAAATGCTACTAATACGGAGCAAGCACGCTTAAAATTTCGCAAAATTCGGTACGGATGGCAAAATAATGGTGTCCACAACTAAACGTTACAAATCGTGAGCATGCCTGAAAATTTCGTAAAAATTTGGCATGAAAAAATGGCGAGATCATATGTTCATTGCAAAACGTTAAAAATCGAAATGCTACTAATACGGAGCAAGCACGCTTAAAATTTCGCAAAAATTCGGTACGGATGGCAAAATAATGGTGTCCACAACTAAAGGTTACAAATCGTGAGCATGCCTGAAAATTTCGTAAAAATTTGGCATGAAAAAATGGCGAGATCATATGTTCATTGCAAAACGTTAAAAATCGAAATGCTACTAATACGGAGCAAGCACGCTTAAAATTTCGCAAAAATTCGGTACAGATGGCAAAATAATGGTGTCCACAACTAAAGGTTACAAATCGTGAGCATGCCTAAAAATTTCGTAAAAATTTGGCATGAAAAAATGGCGAGATCATATCTTCATTGCAAAACGTTAAAAATCGAAATGCTACTAATACGGAGCAAGCACGCTTAAAATTTCGCAAAAATTCGGTACAGATGGCAAAATAATGGTGTCCACAACTAAACGTTACAAATCGTGAGCATGCCTAAAAATTTCGTAAAAATTTGGCATGAAAAAATGGCGAGATCATATCTTCATTGCAAAACGTTAAAAATCGAAATGCTACTAATACGGAGCAAGCACGCTTAAAATTTCGCAAAAATTCGGTACGGATGGCAAAATAATGGTGTCCACAACTAAAGGTTACAAATCGTGAGTATGCCTAAAAATTTCGTAAAAATTTGGCATGAAAAAATGGCGAGATCATATCTTCATTGCAAAACGTTAAAAATCGAAATGCTACTAATACGGAGCAAGCACGCTTAAAATTTCGCAAAAATTCGGTACAGATGGCAAAATAATGGTGTCCACAACTAAACGTTACAAATCGTGAGCATGCCTAAAAATTTCGTAAAAATTTGGCATGAAAAAATGGCGAGATCATGTCTCCATTGCAAAACGTTACAAATCGTGAGCATGCCTGAAAATTTCGTAAAAATTTGGCATGAAAAAATGGCGAGATCATATCTTCATTGCAAAACGTTAAAAATCGAAATGCTACTAATACGGAGCAAGCACGCTTAAAATTTCGCAAAAGTTCGGTACAGATGGCAAAATAATGGTGTCCACAACTAAAGGTTACAAATCGTGAGCATGCCTAAAAATTTCGTAAAAATTTGGCATGAAAAAATGGCGAGATCATGTCTCCATTGCAAAACGTTACAAATCGTGAGCATGCCTAAAAATTTCGTAAAAATTTGGCGAGATCATATCTTCATTGCAAAACGTTAAAAATCGAAATGCTACTAATACGGAGCAAGCACGCTTAAAATTTCGCAAAAATTTCGCAAAATAATAGTGTCCACAACTAAAGGTTAAAAATCGTGTGAATGCATAAAAAATTCGGTACTAGCCAGGGCAAGGCGGGTGCATCGTGCGAAGATTTAGTTTGGAAGATTGTTAGGCTATTTTTTTTTATGGTTGTACTCGTCTCCAAATAAGCTCAAATATCTTCGTGTATTTTTGAGAAGGGGTCTAGGCGGATATAACGCAGCAAAATATTGGTGTCTATTGTCTCGTCTATCGTTCATTAAAGTGCGCTAAAACGTTTTGGGGGGAACAAATCGACAAAGATGGCGATATAAGGCTTGTTATTTTTTATTTTATTTTTTTGAAAATTTCAAGGACGCATATTGTTTCGGTCACCTCTTTCGACAAACTTGTAAAGATAAAGTCAGTCTATGATACTCTGTAAATGTGACTTAGACTACTAAAATGTTGGTTTTTGTAAAGATAGTTGGTAAAAATAGACAAGATGATCGAAATCATGTGCCACTGAGGGTTTTCCTCCGGTGAAATATTGAACACTTGTTCGATACGCCGGTTTCCCTCATCAAAAAAAAAAGGGTGGCCAAGTCTGGAACCTACACTACGAGTATTGTACGGTTATCGGGTTGTATTCCCGATCCACTCAAAGATAAATCAAGACGTAAGATTTTCTGTGCGTATAATGCTAAATTTCACCTTACAAATAACTTCAAGCATGGCAACGATGGTATGTGTTAAGTACAAGTTCACAATGTTTGATGCAATTTATAGGTTTCACTTAATTTATTCATCTCAACATTTTCATTTTTGTTGAAGTGGGTACTCCTGAAGCAGAATTTTCTGATTAAAAGTACGTCGATCGACAGCGTAATGAGCTTACTCCTGGACCATCAACGAAAGTGCAATCGAAAAAAAGAAGCAGCAAATCTTCTAATGGTAAAGCAAACAAGTGATGTTATACAAAAAAGAATTAAGTACGTAATCCAATCTGAGCATTTTGATGTTAATAATGGCGTTGGTTGCAATAAATCATGATAAAAGGGAAACTGAAGAAAAGCCGTTGTGGAAAGTTATTTACGCACATTGAAAAGATGTTTTGTCTTCCTGTTGACTTCTTCACCACATTCTTCCATCACTACGGCAAAAAACAAGGTTAATAAAGGTTTATAACAGGGCTCTACCAAAAATTCATTACTTTATTGGTTCCCTAACGTAAGGATTTCCGAACGGCTGATTGTAATCCAATGTTGCTGGAACAGGTTGACTTATTACTCTTCTTTCTTGGGTACCTCCTACTGCAGAACTTGTTAATGCACCTCTACCAGCACCTACTGACTTCCTTCCATTTCCTCTTCCAGCCCCTACAGTCCACAAAACATAAAAAGATATTTTACTACCTGCAATAAACACTCTTCTGTGTCAAACTCTCCATACAAACTTACCAATGTATGACACAATTTTTTGCCTTCCTTCTTCAGCTTCTAGTTTTTGTGCTTCAATCAGAAGAATTTGGGTTGCATCTGATCTCTTCTTTTCATTGATTTTAATAGTCTGCATAAGTTCTGGCCTTTTAACACTCTTTAAAATTCATAAAAAGTACGCATCAAAAAATAAATCTGGCTGCAGGCATTAAATATCTGAGCATACTAAAACATTAATGCGATGTTTCTGTCCAACCAAGTGTGCAAATTTGAGATTAGAGTCAAAATGGACTTGACAAATGGAGCAACTATACCAAACAAGTTTTCCACGAATTTCATCTTTACTAACATATTCCAACCCTAAATAATAGATATTTATGTGATTAACAACGTATGTGTATTTACACCTAACCACTGAATAATAGAACATATCACCAATATATTAATACCAATGAGCGGTTCTGGATATGCTTCAAATTCATCATTTGTCACTGATTGATTCATAATGTGTCTGTCATATGGTTTTGAGTTATGCATGTTTGTCCGTTGTGAGGTAGTTTTTCTTTGGTCTATACCTTGTTTCGCCTAGAAATGTTTACCGTTGTCTCACTAACCCTGCAGTGCTCACTTTGAAACTATTAAGATTACAAATTGAAACATTACCTTTCTATGTTTTGCTCCCATTAAATGAGCATTCCAAGGAATATGCCCACTACAAGTCACGTTACAGACCTACAATGTGGTCTGACTTGGTGAATACAATTGAAGTAGAAAAATGATCAGGGTAGTGTTGGATGGTGTGTATTCTATCCTTGTATCATTGTAAGAAATTTGATCTCAGTCACTCACCTCACACGTTATGTTTAAAAGACCTGGATCCACTTGTACACGAACTTTTATTGCTTCGGCAAATTTCTTCACATGTGAAGGTTTAAGAACATGAACTGCAAACATCTATGCAAGAAAGTTTAATAATGTATTCTTCACACTATTCTTTTAAAGTTGCGAGGTTTTGAATAATATACCGGCCACTCAGGAGCTTGGTAATCGCAATATTTACAGTATCTCATTTCCTCTTCGCGCTCTTCATTTGATTTCAATTCATCGCAGGCCGTGTCGTTGGGATTGTCAAATTGTTCATTTTTGACGTCAGTCATAGTTTTGAAAAATACTTCAAATTTACTATTTTTTAAGTACAAAAATTTCCATCCTAAGATCTTAATGATTATGATTATGTTATGATTATTCTTTGTTCCCAGGCCTTCGTTCGCGCCTGTCATAATAAAATAAAAGTCAAAAGTCAAAACAGTGAAAGTGTCTACTGAGTTTTGACCTTTTGACTGTAACGTCTATAATAAATGGCATCTCCATTACTACTCGACAAAAAACATCAAGCAAGACAGCAATTTGATGACAAATGGCCGGGAATGAAACCAACTGTAGTAAAAATTTTAAAGCAATTAGGAGTAAGCACAGTAGAATGGCAAGATTTATTTTGGTAATTGCTATTTCATAATTAGATAGTAACTCAAACTTTTTGAATTTTATTATAACTTATATTGTTAGGGATGTACACAAGGTGACGCTATGGGATGAAAAAGGAGTTTTGAAGATATTTGAGGCACTCAAGTGTGTTGTGTCTGAATACATAAAAGCAGTAAAACAGGTCTGTTTTGTGACATTGTCACTCATTTTATCTTCAATCAGACAACTTTTGAGAAAATAAAATTTCAGTGATGTGTTTAAAATGAATTTAAATAATTTGATGTGCAAAAAAATCACAGACAATCCTTACTGAACTTGTTTCTGAATTTCTACACAACTTTTTAAACATTAAAAACTTTATAACATTACAGTTGACAGATAGTTGAAATGGATGATAAAGTGCAATGTGTACCCAATTCTTAAATTCTTAAGTCTTTTTGTGATTATAGATCATAATGAAAGAAAATGATGACTCTGTATTACTAAAAACATATGTTATGGAATGGACTAAATTCTTTGCTCAATGTCCGTATATTTCCAAGCCATTCAAATCCCTTGAAAGTCATAGTGCTCAAAATAATAGTGGCAAGGCTGATGCTGTCAAAGTTACTGAATCAGTATCAGTAAAGAAGGTGTTTGTAGAAATATATACAAGTTGAATGTCATTTGGCAAAAATAATGACTTACTTTTTTATATTTTCAGCTTATGTTGGATACATGGAATGAAATAATATTTTCAAATATCAATCATAAACTTCAATCTAGCGCAATGAAGCTTGTCTATGAGGAACGTATTGGGGAATCATTCGATCCGCAACTAGTGATAGGAGTGAGAGAGTCTTACGGTAGATTCATAGTGCATTTTGAGCAAACTATTTGTATTTGCTTATGATTTCTTTTGTTGCAGTAAATCTCTGTTATAATGAAGCAGACAAATTGAGGATCTATTGCGATAACTTTGAGAAGGCTTATCTTGAGGCAACAAGACACTTCTACATAAGTATTGCATCACAATATTTGGATGATAATGGAGTTGAAAAGTACATGGATTATGTGAGCTGGATGACATGACACTACATACATATTATGATAGAGTCTGTTTAAAGTTGTATGGTTGTTTAACTTTTAGGCTCATAGTAAGATCATAGAAGAGGAAGAAAGAGCTTTAAGATACCTTGAAACATCAAAAGAATGCAATTCCTGTCACTTGGTGTGTAGGCATGCAAGTCTTTTCATTGATTTAAAATTTTATGAATTTCTTTTGCTTTCATTTGGTTTAGTTGAGTGAAGTTTGTGTTAAAAGTCTTGTAAGTGATGTAAAAGTGTCAATTTTGGAAGATTGTCCAGGATTTATAGCTGCAAATCAAACTGACAGTAAGATGAAATTTTTTTAAGTACATTTACAGCTGCAAATCAAATTGGTAGTTAGATGAAGATTTTTGTGAGTGCATATTTCATACATATTTTATACCTAAAATCTAAGTTGTGTTATCTAGAGTTGTTAAAAATGTTTCATCTTGTGGATCGTGTAGCAAATGGTGTTGAGCCAATGATTACTCACTTGGAGGATCATGTCATAGCTACAGGATTGATGGAAATGATGGATGCAGCTGCAACCATAACAACAGTATGTGACTTAATTTATATTGAACAAAACCTTTTGCTTACATTCTATGTGATTTTTAGGATTCAGAAAAGTATGTTGAGAGACTGTTGATGTTGTATAGACGCTACAGTGTCTTGGTGAAAGAAGCTTTTGATGATGATCCTCGATTCCTTACCGCTCGAGATAAATCTTTCAAGAAAGTCATTAATGATACAACAATATTTAATCTTGATTTGTCGACAAACAATAAATCGTGAGTCTTTGATCTAACTTTATGAAGTAACCACAATTGAATGCCTGCACTGATTACCCTAGAGCTGAGTTTGTTTTAGCCTGTGCAAACTGATCTGATTTGAGATCAATCAATTAAATCAACTATAAATACACGTTAGGGAAAAATGAAAATGTTTGACTTATATTTATTTGTTTAGCATTATTGTTTTTTAAAAAAATTAGATTTTTTTGTGTTTGCACTGGCTGATGCAAACCTGAGAGACATTTGTGAGAAATCTCGAGCAGTTGTAAACCCTCAACCTTCAGTCTTGGCTTGCGCTCAACAGCTCTTGAGTTCTCCCAAAGGTATCTTTGGTTTAAACACAGTAAATAACTTCTATTTCTCAAGTGAAACATATTCTTACACTTTATTTCGATGTACATGTATGTATGTAGCTTGGAAAGTACTCTAAGGGATTTTTATGAGCTTTATTGGGACATTCTCTATATTTTGTAGCTCGAGCAAGACAGCTCCTGAGTCTAAATGCCCAGAGTTACTTGCTAATTTTTGTGACATGTTGTTAAGAAAAAGTGTATTTAGTAAAAAACTGACGTCGGATGAAATTGAGGCTAAATTGAAAGAAGTTGTAAGTGTGTTGGATGTGCCATTGTATATTTCATTCGTGAAATGCTGTTAGGTTTTTTTCCACGTATTTATAGCTTCTTGTGTTAAAGTATGTTGATAACAAAGATGTATTTATGAGGTAATTATTCTGATCGTTTCTATTGGTACATATATTACCGTGCCCATTGGAGGTTAACAAGGTCCTTTCCCTACACGTGACCACGATGGGGGACTGAGAGTTTATCGATATTATCGGAACGGTGATTTCCACAAGGTTTTTCCTTTCCTTGCTGAAGATATTAATTATAGCACATTAATTTCAGAACATTAATTTCAGATACCATAAAGCTCATCTAACAAGACGATTGATCCTGGATTGTTCCACAGACAGTGATCTTGAAGAAAATATGGTAGAATGGTTAAGAGTAAGCTGTTTAGCTTGTTATGCTCAACTGTGTTTATCTTTCATAATCTTTTGTCTATTATTGGCAGGATGTAGGCATGCCTGCAGATTATATAAATAAATTGGCAAGAATGTTTCAAGATATTAAAGTTAGTGAAGATTTAAACCAAGAATTTAAAGATATTAATAAAATGCGTTCTACTATGACAGGTATGTCATTGCAAACTTAGCGTAATCTTTATACTAGTGATTAAGTCAATAAATCTGTGATGCTCGTTTTCTATAGACAATATTTCTATAAAAATCCTCAATGCTGGAGCCTGGGCGCGAAGTTCAGAGAGGGTAGCGGTCTCTCTTCCTCCTACCGTTAGTTCTTTAATTAAGTTATTCATAGTATCATGTCATTTGATTGTTGAATAATAAGCATCATTATGTAATAGCTGGAGGATCTAATTCCTGAAGTGGAAGAATTTTATCGTGGTAAGCATAGTGGGAGAAAACTTCAATGGATTCATTTAATGTCTAATGGTGTGGTAAGAAAACATCTTGTTAATTTTGAAAATGAGATAGTTTGTTTTAATGGAATCTAGTTTATTTCGCCTATAGCTGGATCCTCCCCTGTAAGTAAATAGACTCAAATTGAGTGACAGGTTGACTTCAGCTAACGTTTTAACTAACACCAATGTTTGTTTGTGATTGACTTTTTTCAGATAATATAATATAAAACAAATTCCGAAGAAAACATCAAAATATGAATCAGAACTAAACTGTAAATTTCAGAACTCTTCCACTTCTGTCTGAGGATGACTTTCAAATAAAGTCGAAAATTTACAGTTTACTTCTCGTCTTGTTTTGATTCATATTTTGCAATCTCAAGATGTCTTGTTTCTTCGGAATTTGTTTTATATTATACTTCTTTAAATTGTCGGCTGGTCATGGTTTTTTTCAGATAACGTTTGTAACTATCACGAATGTTTGCGATCAACTGATTTATTTCAACTTATGTTATTTGTGATTGGTTTATTTCAGTTAACGTTTGTGAGCGAACTAGGAAAATACGACATTGAAGTAACGACTTTTCAAATGGCCGTTCTCTTTGCTTGGAATGAACGTCGAAACGACAAATTATCCTTTCATGATTTACGGTAGCTGAACCTTTACTGTTCCTATGTTTATGAGAAATATTGATACAGTCTTCATCTGCACCGTTTTATATTTTTTTTAGGTTGGCGACTGAATTACCAGAGTCTGAACTTCGTCGTACGTTATGGGTATATGTTTTGTGAACTAAGGACAGACGGAATGATGCAATTCTCTTGACCGGTTTTATTGTTTTTTTAGTCTCTAATCGCATTTCCCAAGTTAAAACGTCAAATATTGTTATGTGAGCCCGCAGTACAGTCTTCGAAAGAACTTCACGAAAACTCCTCGTTTTGTGTTAATCACAATTTTGCTATAATGTAGGTTAAAACGGAATACTTTGCAATTTTGTAGTTTCTTGTTCTCTCACGTCTAAATTTTTTTACACAGTAAGAGCGGTAAAGTACAGAAGCGAGGCAAGGTTAACTTTATTGGTCGACTCCAACTTTCTACGGAAAAGCATCGTGAAGAAGATAATGAAGCTATTGTCGCTCTTAGAATACTAAGAATTCAGGTAAAACTAACTCTCTTGTTCATAAATCCTCCCTTGCTAGTCCAGTGGCGTAACCAATAAGGGTTCAGACTTGCCGAATCCAGAGGCCCCATGGCATAAGGAGGCAACTGTTTAGAGTATACTGTTGAACAAGTAACATTTGCACAGTAGTCTTCTGCATAGAAAATAAAATTCAAAGTTTACACGGAAAATCTTACGAGAATTCAAGAACTCTTCACTTTGAGGAATATTCTGCGAATTCCTTTCTTAAGTACAAACCTCGCCCATAAAGGTACATTCTGTACAAAAATTCGTCGGTCCAACTTTTCTCCGTAAAGATCGAACTTGCGCTTAGTCAATAAGGGTTTATTAAAATGGTTATTGATGGGGCCACTTTTATTTCTTTTACTGTGAGCCCTCCCATGCTCGTATCTCAAATTTCAAATTTATTTACTATGAATTATCCTTACGTGCATGTTGTAATTTAATTTCATTGCTTTCAATACTTTAGGAGGGTATTGTACGTATAATGAAGATGAGAAAGACGATATCGAATGCCCAACTTCATACAGAACTTGTTGAAATTTTAAAGAACATGTTTATTCCACAGAAAAAAATGATAAAAGAACAAATTGAATTACTTATTGACCATAAGTATATGAAACGGGACGAGAATAACATTAACAAATTCATTTACTTAGCTTAAAATCTCGAACTTTTGTAATACTGTTATCTATGTCCATCGTAGGATCACGATGGATATTGGTAGCATCAACTATAAATACATACAAAATTGCAATTTTGTTTCAATTTTAGGTTTTGGTCAAGTTTGGTTTTTATTAGTCTTGGTTTTATTGGTCAAGTGTGACAAATATCTTCTTGTTACTTTATCAATGGTGTTTTTTATTCTCATATTTTTACTAACCTTCCGCGTGTCAAATTCTTTCTCTGGTTGAACAATCGTGGGTGAACAAATTCTTGGTCCATCTGAGACTCATCGTCGACGGTTGACTGATGGTACGTAAGTAGCAAGTGCTTATCAGGTTTATGAGTTGTAGACATCTTCAAGGTTAATTCCTTTTCTACTCCTACTTTGATGCTTTCATTTAGAATGGATTATGTTCACTAGATATTGCTTCTAGATTCACTTGGATTCATTTGCAGTGGATTCCAGATTTCCAGTGGTGGATTCACTAAATTCATCCACTGGTTCGTATAGTTCGTAGGCAGATGTTCAACCCGCAATCAGGCAGGTGGAGTTAATTCAAATGTAAACAAAGAGAGGGTAAACAATGGAAGTCGTACATTAACAAGCGTTTTTTTGATTGTCTCTCCAAAAAACAACAGCATGTGTAAGAATTCAATGTAGCATTCAAAATTATGATTCATATTTTACAATGCAATGCCCGTTATGCAGAGAAAAGGTTGCAGATGAAAATGCTTTGCACGTTCACTATTTAATGGATTGTACTGGATACGTTACGTCGTCAAATACTACAAACAGTCAAGAAATGCAAGAAACGTCAGGTGACTACCTTTAACTAAATACTAATCGTAGTAACTCATTTTATAAGTTGATAAATACATTATCTTCGTCCGTTAACTGTGCATAGCTCACTCAAGCGAGAAACTTGTACAGTTCAAATGGTTGAAATCGAAACCAACTTTGGCGCGCGAAGCACATTTACTCAGCTCACTTGTAAGTATAAATATACTCATGCTATATGGCAGTTAAAGAAAACTGATTTTTGTTAACAGTTTCAATTATGTTGTTTTTCTCTTTCAATGAATTGCATGTTAAGGTTAAGCTGCTAAGTTTGTGAGAACTGAGAAGAAGCTTGTCTTAAATTAGAAGCTGCAGAAATAAGTTGTAACACTTGTTGTAATATTTAGACCGATTCTGTTCTTTTGAAATGGAATGAAATTGAAGAATGTTTTATGTCTGAGAATGTTAAAGTTCCATGTGGGTTTCATGAATGTCAACTGGTGTTAGATGGAGATGTATTGCCGACTAAGAGCTTTATGGTCAATAATAATACTCCAAAGACTGTTGAAATCTTCTTTGCAGGTGGTATGTTGACATTTATGCACTGTGTATACTTAAGTACACCTATCCTACCCCAATTATTGACCTTATTTCATTGTGTTAGTGTTAATAAAAATCCTATCAGTAAAGATCAATAGTTAACTACAGTAAGGTGTTTCTTGACATGTTTTCAGATAATACCTCGGCTAGCTCTAGTAATAATTTATCTGATGATGCAACTCATTTGAATGCAATATCGTCAAAAGAAAAGTCCAAAGATGGAGTCTCATCCAATAACATTTATTCTAAAGGCACTTTGTATGATGAACTCATCAAGCATCAGGTACAACTTCGCTTAATATTTATAAAGGTTTACAAAAATTACAGAATTTTTTCCTCTTTAGATACTGTATGGTGATTCTTTTGAGAGGATGAGCGGTCATGCAGCGAGAGGTAATTCAAGAGACATAAATGACAGCTATACATCATATGATGGTGTTTCATCACAAGATACTGGAACCCTAAATAAAGAAAGGTGCCTAAAATTATTTTAATCATAAATGTAGTATTTATTGAAAGACGGTTGTTTGTATCCTTGTTTTAAGATCAACTCTACCGGACCTTCCTACCCAATCATGTCATACTGATGAATTGAGTGGCATTTTACAAAGCGCAAAATCACATGAGAAAAGGAATATATCTAGAGACGAAAAACAGTCGCTTGATTCAGATAATGAAGGTGTGGAATTACCCTTAAAGTCTATTGCTAGATACATTTGCATATAATATTATTATAATATTCTTATATTTACTTTAATTGTTTTATAGAACCATCTGACAGTGATTCTCCACCTGGTGAATTTAAAAGCAGACCAGAAATAGTTGGGGAATCAAATGGGGAATCTGTAGATGATGGCAGTGTTGATGGATGTATTCAAAGCAACTGTTTTGAAGAAGACACAGAGACTGGAAATGAAAATTTTGTAGATAGAGTTGCATCAGATATTGGTACTGTGACAAAGGTCTCAAATGGAGATGATTTATTCACTGGACACCTGATTCAGACAACTGTTGGTAACACGAGAGTACAAGTTACTGAGGACTTTCAAACTGCTCATAATATAGCAGCACCGAGAGATGTTGTCTCTTTTACAGATAACACTCAGTTTCTCTCTCTACCAATCACACCATCAGCTCAACATATCATGGAAAACTCAAAAAACCAAAGTACCGCTGTCTCAAGCTATTTTAGCGGAGACTTACTCCCATCGCTTGTGTCAATCGGTGATAGCAAGGGGAATAAGAGTTCAGTAAAGGATTATTCGCTCATTCCTGATGCCGAATTTATACCCTTTAGTGCAAAATCTGATAAAAATAGACTTGAAGATCTTGAAAAGGGTAGTGACCTCCGTAGCAATGTTGTTCCTGTCACTACCGCATTTGAAATGAACGTTAGCAAAGATCAATTACACCGTAATACATCTATTGAAAGCCTCAATGATGGTAGTCTTGATGACGTACATGGAACGTTCTCAAGTAGCTTTTTTGAGAGTGATCAAAAAAGATATGTTTCTAAAGTTGGAGATTCTATCGCTAATGAAGAAAAAATAACACCGAAAGAAACTTATGAACATTTGAAAGATAGTATGATTACCAGTTTTAGTGCACCAAGTGCTCAAAACCATGGAGATAATTTTACAGAATTTGTATCTGTCTCTCATAGTCGTGCCAGTTACTCTCCATTAACCACTCGTACTACAAACGAATCTTTCCTGCAAGATATCCGTTATCCCATTAGTTACCAAACTCAATCCTACTCATCATCAGTAAACCGCTCTCACACAGCGATATCCCCACTGTCTTCTCCCAGAGGTATTATTACCAATACTGTATCTGCTCCTCGTTTGAGTTACGTCTTGGAGACTGGTGACAAACCTTTCGCTACCGGAGCTGGTGCGATGGATATCTCTGGATCTGTGACTAAAGATGAGGCATTAAGAGATTGCAAACAATTTTCAGACGAAAAAATTCGAGGTGATTTTTAAAAAAAGGATTTTGATTTCACTTTCCTGTATCACCTCTTTTCTCTAAAGTGTCATTGTTTCAACCACATCTTTGTTTAGAAATGTTAGACAGTCTTGAGTTCCGATATTCTCGACGATCTCCGACTTACCTAGAGATGGCGACTCCATCAAAACTGGCAGATCGGGAAGATATTGCGAAGAAATTACAGACTGAGAACGCAGAATATAGAAAGAAGAATCATGAACTTGAAGATAAGTTAAGGGAAGCTTTATCCTTGGTGAAGGTAAATTAAGTGTTTGCATTTCATTTTATTGTTGTGAAAAATATATATATCGTTCCACTTTGTCAACAGACGAAAGAGGACGCTTTGAAAGAACAAGAAGATTTAACTAATGAATTAACGACCGCTCTTAGTATAAAAGACAAGGAATATTCGGAACTTGAGACAGAAAATCTTGTATTGAAAAAAGATCAAAGGCTAAAGAGGAGAGAAATGGAAGAAACAATTAATGAATACGAGAAAAGCCTTTTCAAATCACAGAAACTTATTTTATCTTTACAGGAAGAGGTGAGTATTGTTAAATGAGTGTCGCTTTCAAAAGTCATGTGGTTACTTAGTCATTTTATTTTAATAGATTAAAGTTGTTCGTGAGCAATCTACGAGAAACTCTCCTAGATATTCTGAGAAATACAAGAAACTCTTGCGGGATTACGAACATTCAATTGCCTTATCTGCCAGTATGAAAAATCGCGTGAAACAACTTGAAGAAGAGATAAGAAAGCGTGATGAGAAAATTGATGCTTTTACGTCACGTTTTTCTCTTGAAGAAGATAATATTACCTCATCTCATCGTCATGATATCAAAAGACATGACGCGTACTGGCCGCAAACTACACAGCCACGTGATATGACGAGTAGGAGTACATTTAACAGTAACCATCGATATGATAACGACTCTCCCTACACAAAAGACAATTACCGGAATAGTGACGTTCTCTTGTTTTCTGAAGATTATTATCGTGCATATCAAAATGGCTACGAAAGGACGAAGTATGTTCCTTCAGATCCTCATGATTCGCCTAGATCGTCGCGAGAATCTCGAAGTCGTCGACGCTTTATGGCCAGTGGTGATGGCCTCAGGGGATATTCCATTCCAAAACGAAGTCACAGTTCTGAGTCTGTGATAAAAAATGATTGGGAGAGAAGTAGTTCTCAAAAATCGCATCATTTAAACCGTGCAGGTATTCGACTGATAATAAATACTATGTCTAAACATATGATTTCTAATAAATCCAAAGACAATCTCCAGTCAATCTGGTTTGAGTATAAGGGCATGGGCTGTCAAAAATACAACATCAATAGAATCTCTCATTGGCTTTTTGCTTATCTTTAGCCATTTTTATTTACACAGTTAGAATGATTAATGTTGATTATCCCTTTTCATTTAGGTTCTCATGAAGTGCTTCCATCTAAATCCACAACACCAAAACAGTTCGAAGATTTTTCTCTTGATGATTACAATAAAATAAAGTACAACTTTCCTAGTTCTTCAACAAGTCCAAAACGAAGTCCTGGCAAAGGATCACCATTTGCACCTAATCATCCACAGGAGCTCCACAAAGGAATGAAAATTTTAGTAAGTAGAACTGGTGGAAATAGTGCTCAAGGAGTTTTACGCTATATTGGAAGGCTTCCTGGTAAAGAAGAAAAGATCTATGTAGGTGTGGAACTTCATCAACCAGGTAATTTTTAATCATTGTTTCTTAAAATAGCAGTTTATTTGACAATCCTTTGTTTGTCTCTATTTGTTAAATCTACCAGATGGAAAACATGATGGTATTTTCAATGGTAAAAGACTTTTTGAGTGGTAAGTGTTTTTTTTCATGTTAAAATGTTATTCTTGAATTTTTATCATTTGCTTTATTTGTTTTAGTAAACCTGGTCATGGCATTTTTGTAAAATATGATAAAGTTATTATGGCATATAGGTAGTGACATGTGTCATAAACATCTTTTATTTATTCAAAAACATTAAGGAAACTAAATATTATGTTTACATGTCATCGAACTTGATTGAAAGTTTTACAAAACAAGTTTTCATTAAAACATAAGCATGTAGTAAATAAATGAAATCTTAAACCTTGGACTTTTTAAATGGCAGCACTTTCTTTATGACACTTAACATTGTTGCTGCCGGCTGAGCTCCTGAAAATTGTATGACATTCTCCGGATTGGACTTAAGATATATTTGATAGTGTGGTACACTGTGAATGCCACTTTCCCTTGCAGTGGCAGCCTCTTGTTTCACGTGTTGCACAACATCATCCTTTGTCATATGATTTGATGCTGCTGACCAATCAATATTGCATGCTTCAGTAGCTTCCCGGAGAACATTGAACTTATCTATTCTTTTGGCATGACGAAAATAGTTGTTGAAAAGAACTTCTGCAAGTTCATTTTGTTTGCCAATTGTTTTAGCATAATCAAGAAGGCAATGAGACTTGAGTGTGTTCACTATCATTCTGTTCATATTAAATTTTAAACCCTGAGGAAAAGTAATAAGAGTGAGTTTTTATTGAATACTACTGGTTTACTTACTTGAATGAACTAACCATTTTCTCCCCAAGCTGTGCTAGAGAACTTGTGCCCGTGCGTGCAGCTTCTGCTGCCTGTCGACCATATTTTCTTGCTAGATAGTCAAGCACTGGAATACCTTCATCTGTTGTGTCAGGGTTGAGAAAGAAGGGACACCAATTAATTTGAAAGGAAACGTCTTCTGATAAGTTATGTATTGCTTCTTCCAAATGACGTTTCCCAACCCAACACCTAGAAATTGATGGGAACACAATCAGTTTAGATCAATAGAAATTGATGAGAACACAATCAGTTTAGATCATTACTAAATTATTATACTGCAGGTCAGTGGTATAGATTCCAATTCGCAAGTTAACGTGTTAAAATATATTTTAGTCACAAATTCTATACCAGGGTCAAATGGTATCCGAGGTTATGGCGATGACAACGCATTCCTTGCCGGTTTCCATCCACTTGCCAGAGCAATTTTCCTCTAAATTTCTTGCAAATATAAACAACTTTAATACAAGTAGTTCTGCCAAACTCTTATTAAACGTAAATTGTTGTACATGAAATCAGTATGTTGTGTACATGTACTCTCGTCTAATTTTTATACCAACAACCTGCGATAAGGTGAAATGACTGGAAATTTTTGTCTTTGACAAACTGCTACCGTTGGCCACTAAGGGATGTAAGGGTGATTCCTAATTGCTGTAGTTTCTGACAACATTAATCCAATTACATGAAACAGGTTCGTTGGACAGTGCTGTTTTGCTAGTAATATATTTAAAACCAGTAGATACAATTGCTAAAATTACTAATAGGAATTTTACCCCCTAAACCATGGCTTCTGCAAATTGTCTTCATCAGTCTTAATTATTCGTGTTAAATTCGATCTCTTTAAATCTTATTGTCAGATTAGCACTATTCTATCTTCTCTTTTGTTTTTATAAACATCAGTTAAGAATGCGTTGCAGAGGAATAGTGTGTTTCCTCGCTTCACGCAACGGCAAAAACATGACTTGTAATGTCCGATGTCGTATGAAATGTTATGGTTATGTAATTTATTCGTGTAATTTTTAACTGCTAACTTTTTTAAAAAATATTTCATGTAGCTGTGTTCGATTATTTTTATCCAAAATGGCCCAAACAAAAAGATTAGCATCAGTTGTGATTCATACACTTTCTAAGAAGATAATTCATATCACTCGACCACCTGAATGTCCAAGTATTTTTACATACTGGAGATCTGTTGGGCTTATGTTGGATAGGCAATTTAGCTCATATAATGTGCAACTAAAGGCAGAAACGTGAGTATAAATGTTAATGATTTTGTTCATCACAATTTTATTGATAAATAGGTACATATTTTTCCTGTTTAAGTGTTACTATAACGTATGAGGATCGCGATGGTGATATGCAAAGTGTGAATGCCAAATGTGGTGATACACTACTGGATGTAGCAAAGAATAACGATATTGATTTAGAGGGCAAGTTATTTTAATTTCAATGTTAACCAGAAGACTACTGTGCAACTTTGTCAGCTAAAAGCACACACATGTTCCTGACACTACTAACTTGAAAAACAACTGTATTGTGTGCAAGACAACTAGTCTGTACAACTGTCCAATACACTAACAAAACAGCAAGACTTTTTGCTACAAATTTCTAGGGGCCTGTGAAGGGACATTGAGCTGTTCAACCTGTCATGTTGTGTTTGAGAGCAGAGATTTTGAAAATTTAGGCCTCCCAGAACCTGAAGATGAAGAGTTGGACATGTTGGACTTAGCCTATGGTCTCACTCCTACGTATGTATGCAAGTTGGTTCGACCTTAAATTCTTGAAATTCATGTTTACTCTAATCTCTTGTAGCTCAAGACTAGGATGTCAGATTGTGGTTACGGAAAAGTTTAATGGAATCAAATTGAAAATACCTGCACCTACAAATGATGCCAGAGATATATAGCAACTCAGTTTTGATGAGAACATAACACAATGTCTTCATCAATTTATTGTTGATCAAGTCAAACAATTAATTTCATTTATTATATCTAAATATTTGATAAGATATTCTATTTAGATGCCTGTATGTGTGGGGCTTTCTTCTCATTACTTGTCCCTAAAACATCCTTTTGTACTTCCTCAATGCTAATGTTTTTGGCTTTTAATGCTTTCTGAAATACAAAGACAATGGTTTGAATGAGGTAAATTTGAAGAATGACTACAATCCCTAATATACAAAGTCAGGCCAAGCTGATTTACCGCTGATACAAAGCTCATTACTTCTTACCATGACACAACTACGGTAACTCTCGAACAGTTCCCGACACGGTTCCGATTGAGTATCGCCTCGTAGAAAGCTTTCTGTGTACCATGAATTGAAGCACGTGTCATATTTCTTCTTTAAATCATTACATTCATCAGAAATGCTATTCATTGTTTTTAATATAGATAGAGATTTCTTGCTATCATAGAATGGCTGTATAAAATGATTTCGATTGCCTTATATGAAGTATGGGAATATTAGACAATTCAAAATGGCGGCGAGCTTTAGGAGTAAAGAAATCATAACTTTTCAAGTTGGAAATTACAGTAATGAAGTCGGTGCGCATTTCTGGAACTTGCAGGAGAAGAACTTCAAAGGAGATTCTTTTTACAACGAGATAAGACATGATATGTTGCACCGAAACAGCCTCAATTATGGTAACGGACAAGTTAATTATACACCACGTGTTATATCGTTTGATTTGAAAGATAATATATCACGTTTGGCCGACGAAAACGCTGCAAAGATGTCTGAAGAGTCTATTGCATGGGATGGGGCAGTTGATACCTACTGTAACGAAAATATTTTCACAGAAAAGCCCGGACAAGAAAATGGCGTCGTTGCGTGTAAGGGATATTCGTGGCTTGATTTTATACACCCTACATTTCACGAAAAATCCTTAGTAACTGTTGAAAATTTGAGTAATGAATACTATCGAAGCTTTGATGCATTTGCTGTTGGGGAAAATCTGTTTAGTTCACTCAAATTTCGAAACGAGGTTGAGGATAAAATCCATTATTTTGCTGAGGAATGTGATCAACTTCAAGGTTTTCAAGTAAGTGTGTTAATTGTAAAATTCCTGTATTGTATAGAGTTTTCATGCGAGATTTTTTTTTTTTAAGATTTTTTCACATGTAAATGATGGTTTTGGAGGGTTAACATCTTGTTTGATGCAAGAATTATGTGATGATTTTGAGAAAAAGAATTGTCTTTGTTTTTCTTTGATGCCAGCTATAATAAATGATGAAACAAGACAAGGTAAAGACCAAGCTATGTTGAATACCTTGCTAAGTCTGGCAAAGTTTATAGACAATGGGTCACATGTTGTCCCTTTGATGATGAGAGATAGTTTGGAGTACAGTTATAAATCTAGAGAATTTTCTTATCTTCACTACAAGGTAGGATTATCTTATTACATGTTAAAAAAAAGTTTGACTGGGGGCACATCTAATCCAACTTGGGTAATGACATTGAAAGCTCTTTGCAATTTTTACATTCATGTTTGCTTTTCTTATTTTAATTGAAATAATTTAGGCAAACAATTTTGATACAAGTGCAATCCTTGCTTCTGCAATCGACACATCAACCTTGGCATACAGATTGTCTCACAGTCAATCAGATATGCACATGCTATTACATCACTTATCATGTGGTGGACGAAAGGTCAGTTCTTTGTCACTTGCACTACCTATACCTCTCAGCAGCACTACTCCTTTTGTGGACATCTTTCAAAAAAAGGAATTGGTCACCCCTCTAACTCCTGACATATCCAGCGATCATAATTATTTATGTAAATCCACTGTTGTACGAGGAATTCCTAGCCATCTACTTAAGTCAGAGGAATCTTCTTTGCTGGTTAAGAAAATGTCTGCTATTACACAATATCAAAGTTCTTTAGGGCATTACTGTCCTAGTTATGTAGCTCAAACACCTTGTTTCACAAGTGATCCATTTCCTAAAATCTTCAAATCAATGGTTACTCAAGTTGGTTGTGTGATTGAAGACTATATAAGACCTTCGCAGACAAATGTTGAGAGGATATCAGTATTGGCAAATTTAGTAAACACAGAAGATATCGCTAAACCACTTAATGTGTTATTGAAAGGAACTGATAAGCCAAAAGTCAAAAGGTATCCACAGTATTTTGAGGGTAGTGTTGAAGAAACAGACATTGAGAGCTACAGGGAAAATATTAACTCATTGATTCAAAACTATAATTCATTGTATAACATTTAAACTTTAGTTGGTAAAAATATGCTTGCATGTTTTACATGCTTTTATTTGCTAAAAATATGTTTGTATGCTACAGCACAAAATAGAGTAACAAACCAAAAAATACAAAATAAATTTAGAAAAAAGTGTTTAGTTTTATGCATAAATAGTTTTTAAAACACAATCAAAATATAACAAGTTCTATAAAAAGTTTTATACCTGTTTTGTTTTATTTATAGAAACATTTCATCTTAGGACATCATGATCTTCGTTCCTTTTACATTACTTTTTGGTCTTATTCTAAAAAAACATCAAAAAATGTTTATATTGAATTAAGCACTTGTTAATAAGTATACACATATGCTACTGACCCTACCTATTAGTGTTTTTTGTTGATTTTTTCCTTATTTGTTTCTTCAACATGGGTTTCTTCTGGATGCCATCCAAAGTTTTTATTGTTTTATTCTTTACTTTAGTCTTGTTTGCCTTTTCATTTGCTCCAATACTCTTCACATTTTCCACTGTTGCCACTTCACTGGTGTCATCTTTCATTGTCTTTCTCTGTGTTTCCACTTTCTTCATTAGTTCATATTGATTTTTCATTGTATGAAAAAACTGCGATTTCTGAATGACAAATAAACTTGGGGGATCTGTACTGGTGTTTTTAATCTTGTCCAAATATTTTTGTAGTTTGTCTAAGACTTTTCGTTTATTCTTTGTCTTCCACGGCGCTATCTCTTCTTCTATACTTTCATTCACCTGTGCAATTCTTCCTTGAAGAATCGCCGTCCAATCTTCCAAAGATAATTCACCAGAACATTTTTTTGATTGAGTATTATGTTCAGATGGAGTTGTCTGGTTATTGGAATTATGCGTTATGGAAGGAAGACTAACTGACATATCTAAAGATGACTGACGACGTTTTTGACTGAGCGTGAGGTTTTCGGTGGTTGTAATTTTATCTTCTGGTGTCTCCTTTCGTGAGTTATTGATAATCACTGTAAACTGCGTGTCGATCCTTTCGATGGATTGAAAATCACTGTTTGAATTGTTCCTTTTGTTCTCCTCCTCTCGTTCAGAATTTGTTTTCTTGTACAAAGCTTTTTCTCTAATCGTCATCTGGGGCTGTGCCAACGAATTTCTTTCATCAGAGGAGACGTTACTATGCTCTTGCAATGTTACGCTTTTTTGGTAATCTCCGACTCTAGCTGATAATGAAGAGTCATCACGTACGTTATTGCCTTTGATTGTCTTCATTTCTTCATAAAAATTACGATGGGAACGAGAGACAAGAACCTCCCGGCGATTATTTTCACCGCTATCCGCCTGTGACTTTGTTTTATGTTCGTGTGAATTGAGCACGTGATCTTTCAAAACTACATCTTCTAGTTTGCTCTTTGGTGTATCATTACTGCACGTGTGTCTATCACGGCTATTCAAAACAGTTTTATATTTACTATTGTCTTCAATTACAATTTTAGTGGTAATACCCTGCGTACTAGTTTTGGTAGTACCACCAATGCGTGTAGTTGGGCTCACATCACTTGAAATCAAGGATGCTTTCAAATCGTTGTTTGCTTCAACTTTGTTATTTTCAATGGGTGTGCTTTTTGAATGAAGCAAAGTCAAAGCAGATTTCTTCACTCCAAAAACAACTCCAGTTGGCTTAGGTACTCTGACAATAGGATCGTCTTCTGCTGCTCCAGCTCTCGTTTTACGACCACAGTTTTTACAACGAATGTCAAAGCAAAACTCAATTTTACTTCCATCAGTTTTCAATTTTAATAACTCGCCATCTTTACACACGTCACAATGTGATGTAATGCTAGCAGTTTCACGTAACGACGTCAAACGTGTCTTGTTTACGCCTTCAGTAAGAGATTCTGGTATCTGCTCTTTGAGTATTTGTTTGTTCTTTGCAGATAACTTATCGTCTATAGTACGAATATTGATTTCATTATTGTTGTTCAGCCGGACCAGCTTCGGTATGTTATCGTAAAGTTTGGTTTTTCCTTCTCGAATCTCGAGTTTCGTGTCCGAAATTTCTTTAGTTTTAGCTTTTTTACATTGTACCTTGTGATCTAGATACGTTCCTTCTCTTTGATTAGAGAATACTGTCACTTCATCGTCCGCTGTCCTCTTTATTCCTCTCTTATCCCTAAAGCATAGTGTCACTTTATCATCCGTTGATCTCTTCATTTCTGTCTTATCCTTAACGTAAACAAACTCTTTCTGTTCATGTATTTCATTCGTCCACGTTGACAAAAGTTCATTTGAAAATTTTCTTTCATTTGAAGGCGGTCTTACACTTGTGTTAACACATCCTTCGCCGACATATGATCGACATAAACGACTGTTGTCTCTAGGATAGCGTGTTTCATCTGTGAAGACGTTGTTTCTATCATTATCATCAGAGTCGGAGATTACAATTAAAGGTGGATTCGATTTTCCTTTTGTCGTTACTGAACCTGGAACAGAACGACTCCGGTCGTACTTAGATTGACTGAAGTAAGGTGTCATGGCGGCCATTTCGCCAGTGCTAAATCGTCTCTTTTTCTGATGGGAGGACGAACTTGAGACGTCATTACTATGGTGAATTTTTTCATCTTGAGTAGCTAAAACTTCGTCAATGGATATGAGTCGTGGAGGCAAACTATTGCTATGAGGTATGGGCTTGTGACGCAGGGACTGTGTTGGATAACTAGGCATACCAACCAGCTCCTCGTGTCTTGGAGTTGGAGGTGAATGCATAATTTTTTGATGGTATTGATAAAAATCTTTCTGATGTTGTCTGCGCAAATTGTCTTTATTCTGATGTGCAATTTGTTGTTCTCCAGGGTTCGGCGAAAAATGGTCGATTATTTCCGGAAAATGACGAAGCGCTCCTGTCGAGTTTCGTCTAGAAAGTATTTGTTGCCTGATAATGCTCTTATTCCTGCTGGTTGAGTTAGTTGGCAACATCACGCGAGCTGTATTTGTGTAATGACGAGAGAATCCTTCGACAATTTCTTTTTGCTTTCGTGACGAAAATTGTGAAGTTGGAAACATACCCGGAGACATGTATTCTGTTGGGGACCAGAACCCAGTTTTGGATTGGTTTTGTTCTTCGTGTATTGTTATTGCAGGACGATGATAGCGTTTATAGTAAGTTTCATCATTGTTCAGATTCCCGGTTGCAGGAGCTTCAACAGAATGAGACCTTCCGAAAGTGGGATGACCTTTGATGGGGTAATGTTCTCTACGAGGTATTCCCTGTTGTTTACCATTTTTCTCATACTTTGCCGAAGTGACAGTCACTATCTTGGGCAAAGAAGGGTGATCAAAGACAAGGCCTTGTATATTTTCCCCGTAAGGTTGTGACTTACTGCGACGCAATACAACATTGTTTGTTACGTGATTTTCACTCATCATTTATTTCTAAAAATGAATGAGAATGCAAATCTTAATTCACACGAATATCAGACAATTTAGAATATTCAGTTCAGTTAACTTATTTTCGTGAAAAAGTACATTTTACGCTTGTTGACAAAGCACTTGTGTAGAAGACATTATATAGCGGATAATGCTTGATTGCTTACTTATGCAAATCACCAGAGCTCAGTCAATGCGACGTGACTCATGAAATGTGCACGAGTGTTGCGTCTGCACGATGACCTTGTGAGCTTTACCCTTTTCCTTGTAAATAAACGGAAAAAGCACATCCGGTATATTGGTCATAGTAAAAACGCGGATAACGCATACACATAACAAGTGGAAACGTATGCGGAACGGATTCATGGAAGTGGCGAATGCAAGTCGATGATAAAGAAATGAAAAATATTTATTGGTGTAATATGGAAAAAGTGAAGGCATAAAAACACTGGTATTCTACTTCATTAATGCGCTTGTGACGACCCTCGATCAGTGATGTTGTCATTACACCAGTAACACCACCAAACAGAAAACTAGTTTAAATAGTAAGAGTTAATATGCTTAAATAACCCAGTGATATTACCTATGTACTTTCAAAATCTGGTTTAAAAGACATGCTTTTAAGAAGGCAAAAACCTTTCTGTGCTATCGATTTACATTCGTTCCCGATATGTAATCAGTGTGGTTTAGTCAGACAAGCCTTAGCCTTTCCTTCCACTTATTTTAGGTAGTAAAATAGTATGGTGGGACTTGGCGGATGATTTTCATACAACAAACGTTTAAACCACCTCATAAGCTTTCACTGTTTTCCCAACTTAAATGTGATTGCAAATACCTATAAAACGTTTTAGGTAAGAACATCTTGTCTAGTTTAGTAACCGCCGGTTTACGCAAGTGATTTCCGCATTTTATTTATCCCGATCACTTGATACAGATTGATTCACATGACTGCTGCTAACGTGGACTCTAGATTATACACCAACATGATATTGCCCCATTGTTGAGTATTCCTAGCAGTAATTGTTGGGATTGTTCGTTAATTCTAAATTATATATATACATTAGATATTTCCAATGATGGATTCAATATTCATTAACACCGTGTAACCAGAAATCAAAAAAGTGAACGAATATCACAATTAAATTCTCAGTTTTAAGGGTCATAGAATTTATCGCCATCAGGAAAAAAGCAACACTTAAGTTTGACAAACTAAATCAATTCAAAACCACTGTAGTCATATAGACGCAATCCTTCGACCGATTTATTATTCTAATGTAAACCAATCATACGGTTCTAGTTCATTCCATAGAATGAAATCAGGCAAAATTAAACGTCCATATGTCAAAATACTCAATAAATTAATCTTTATTCATACCGAATCATGCAAGTTGCCCCTTAAAACTTGAACCCTTAGATCGTTAATTTCACAGTTATATAATGGTTTACCTAAGTAAGACATCCGTAAGCGGTTATACGGACGCGAAAGTAAACTGAAAAACTTTGAAACTCCTAAGAGATTATGCTTGTTCCTCGAGCTCTTCAAACGACTTGGAGATTTGGCTAAGCACACCATTCTGATGCTGTTTGGGGAAGTTTAATTGACGTCCTCTTTATTTTTAAACTCACTCGGTTTATCTGATGTAATAATCTGATGAAAACTACGATTTTAACATAATCAATTTCTGGGAGGATGATAAGAAGTACCAAATGCCATGTGATGTTTCGAGTGAAATGTTTGTTTATATAAAAAAATTACAAACATTTACACGTATCTCCTCAGCATGTCTTGTGTAATGAGTACAACTCGAAAGAATGCTAGACAATCCTCACTTAAACAAGTTTAGATGAAAAGAAAACAACATCAACAAAGCTGATGGCTAATAATTCTCGAATTTCCCTCCCGGATATATATAGCTGTTGTATCTAACATCCAGCTGACGCAACGTATCTTGTTCCTCTTTTAAACAAACAATTTCTAAAGTCGTATGGTTTTCGCTACTTCGACAAGCTTTTCTTTTTTTTGTTGATTTTTTAATAAGTACAATCATATGTAGCTTAATTCTTACCTTAAATAATTGTACAAAACCTGCGATTCACAAATGAACTCTGATCTCCATGCTGCTAATGCGTGATTAGAATGAACTGGAGAATTGCTCCTTTATAAAGTTCAGGAGGCGGGAAAGTCGTGGTGATTGATGACTGGTCAGATTGTGTGACAATTCACCATGTTACATTACATGTTAAATGACGCCACATAGAAATGAAATATCTTGTGAAATACAAACTACAAACTAAATTAAAAAGTTAAACATTGTGTAAATAATTAAATTATCTATTATATCGTTTTTTGTCATTTGTTTTAGTTCATGGTCAGTGTTGCGTGTAGTCACATGAATAACTGCAGTAATTTACACATTATAACAATAATTTCCAGGCCTCATGCAAATGCACAATTAAAATTCAACAAGAATTAACACGTGGCGAGATTTTTAGCGAATGATTTGCCCGGCGGATATCACATACTCGAACTTGTTATTTTTTATAAAGCTTTTTGAATAAATGCTCGAATTTTTTTAATGAAGACATCTTCAGATTAAAATGTTTACATCAGTCGTCTAATGCAGGCAAGCTAATTATTCATTTATAAAAGGTGTTAAAGTCGGAAATGTGGGTGACAGGGCAAAACCAAACACTTACAAACAAATTACTTTGTCATTTACACAACAGAATGGTATCGAAGCACGTGAAAGTCTCTCTATAAAAATGGTCTTCCAATCGTTCATTTCTACTTAATGTCTCATCTAAACACCACATCTCGTTATCATGCTGCCGATTTTCATGATTTTTTAACTCTCTTTTCGTACTCAGACACTTTGCAAGTTAATTATCCACGAACGACTTCTAAATAATCTCAATCTAAGCTTAAGCCCATTCTTAACAACCAAAGTAGCTCCATCCCATTTAACTTACTTAAATATGTCTGTCCATCCTTCTTGTAGTTACAATGTTTCGATCGAACATCGTATGGATTATTGGCAATAGTTCAGTTACAAAATAGATAGCGTGTTGCGATAAGATATTGTGTCTATTATATAATAATATATAGTTATCTATTCTATGGTGCTGGTCAAACTTGTAACTGATATATACATATAAAAAGACTAAATTTAAAGGTTTGAATACATCATTCCACGTGTAATACCTTTTGAACAAAAAGCGGCTTCGTTACTATTACAATCGGCAGAACTATATAAGAAGAACTAAGTCTGGCACAACTATCAACTGAATTTAGAAATATTCGTCTCCTGAGCCCCTCCCAAGCTACTGCCCCGTCAATTGCGCTTGAAACTCTGGCAGTTTGTCAATCTTAAATTAAAATTTAGTCCAGCGTTACATTTATTTATGCTATGAATTTTAACTTAGCATAACCATATTAAAATTTGGGTGATGATGCATGTCATTTCGTAAGTCAATCAAAACAAACATCATAGTGATCATAGAGAAATGCACAAAAAATTACCCATTTGATATCGATCCTCACCACGAAATTAACCATGCTTTAATGATTACAATCTTATCAATACGATCCTGAGAATCATTACGTTTTTATTACTAAACATGAAAAATGTTTTTTTAATACATGAATGGTGCCATCTTGGAGATTGTATGCCTTCAAGTCTGCAAGTTTGAAGTTTCGTGATTTTGCTGTTCATGATAGTTAGGCAATGAATGTTTCTTTAATGGTTATAGGCAGAAGAATGTTATATGTTTAAGGTGTAAACAAACGAACAAAGCTTGCCCAAAATGCCAGCGTCTGCACGCAAACATTTGAGATAAAAAGCTTTATACTCATTTCTATAAGTGATACCTTATTGTGTAATAAATTACGTAAACTCTTAATGACAGAAAGAACTGAATTGTTTGTGTATAGTAATTTATAACAATCGTATGTTATAACCAGTTTGATCTCAGTCATATATTTTGAAATTGGATTAAGTAAATCCTTTAAGTGCAATAATAAAAGTCATTGAAGCACGTGTTTCGCAAATGTCCACGACAATAATCACCAGAAGTAAAAACGCATTTTTTAAAGCTGCCTGAGGCTCCGACCTTTTATCTTAATGCTTTAATCCATTTATAAGCTAAAAGCTACCTATTTTTCACGATGGCCTACTTTTCAATTTACGATTACAAGGCAGACGTTGTTTTGAAGAAATTTTGAGAATTTTTTTAGATGTCATGAGCTATCTTTTAGAAAAGCTGAGATACTTACCTCCAACTGATGTTTTAGAATTGATATAAATAGAATCGTTTTTGTTATTACTTCTGTTCTTTGTTATTCCGTATTCCTGTTTTATTCTTCACCTTAAAAAGTCTCTTTTATAAGTTTTATTCAGGTGCTTCTAGTATTTTTGCAAAAGACAGGTTGTGATGTTGTGATCGTGATGTCGTGATTTCGCGTGGCCGCCGTGACGTCAACAGAGACTTTGTCGCGGTGACAAACTTAAAGATGGATTTCAAAATAGCAAATACCATGGTGAATGGTGATAATAACAATGTAATAGTTCTTAAAAGAACTGTTTTAACCAGAACACTAACCCAACAATTCAAAGGAACCGTTATTTACAGCTAGAAAGAGACACTGTGCATTTCGGCAGACTACTCGTCAGGTGTCAACGTCTGGTAAATGAGAACCTCCAAATCATGCTATACTTATAATGTTACAAAAGGTCAATGTCACCCCTATTTTTAGAGATGACACTTAAAACAGAGACAGATTAAACACGTAATCCTTTTGTCGGCAAAGGACAGTATTAGTCAATTTAATTAATACCGACTCCATGACGCGTAGCTGGAATAACGAGCGACATTATTTAATAATTTTAAAGTTTTCATCAGAATAAGCATTGGCACAGCGAGTGTTGCTTAAAAGATGTTTTCCAATCGCTGAATCACATAGAATCGGATTTTCACTTTTACACCCACGTTTTGGTAGTTGTCGTAAAGGAACAGTTTTATTCCTGACAGAAGCTGGTACATGCTGTTTTATTCTTTCCCTCAACCTTTGAGAAGTCCTACCTACATAGCGAGCATCACACTCACATTTAAACTCGTATACTACATTGCTTGATATTTGAGCAGGGAGTGACTCTTTGGAAGTGGGTGGAAGAATAGTTCTTTTTGAGAATATAAAGACCACATTGCATGCAAAGAACAAACTCTCAGTGATATTTTTAGTCTCCTTCTCGATGCCATTAGAGGCCTTACCCATCCAGGGAAGTTTAAGGAAAACAGGGCACTTGGCCGGTCCGAAAAGTTTATTCCGTTCATTGTTAGTGGATAAGAAAACCGAGCAACTTTTCCGGATATCCATTTAACACAAAAATATTCTTCAGTGAGATAAGATCACTATCAATAAACTCTTTTGAGGACAATCTATGCGTTCGCTTTATCAAACACTTCACTAAAGAAATCTTTTCTCTATGCGAAGGGAAAGAGTCAAAGCGTGTGTACAGACCAGTGAAAGTTGCTTTGCGATGGATGCTTGTTAAGAGCTGACCATTGCGTTTGTGTACAAGAACATCTAAAAAAGCTAATAGATTGTTTGACTCTTTTTCAGAGGTGTAATTTAATGCAGGGTGAAGAGAGCAAAGTTTATTAAGAAAAAGTTCACGATTTTTATCGTTATGAAACAAAGAAAAGGTGTCATCCACATAACGCTTATACCACAGCACATCCGGACAATCTGAAGATGCAAGCATTTTGCATTCATGATGGCCAACACAGGTAATTGCTATAAACTATAACTGCTATATATAAAATAAGAACAATAAAAGTCGTGCGCCGATTGGTCTATAGCCGTATTTGCATTAGCCAGTGCAAAATGATTTGAGCAAATGATTGCAATTGTAATTTACCTCTTTAAAAATTTTATTTATCTTATGGCCACATTTATCTTAATTCACCAATGTACAATCAATGACATGGCCGGCGTGCAAGTCTGTTAATGATATGTTATTTAAGATCATTGGCACAACTTGTTTCTTAGAAATGTGTTGTCTTTACTGTAAGTCAACACCGACAAAACGTGTTGGCTGCCTATGGCGCTGTCTACAAAATCGTATTATCATAATAGTTAAGAGTCAAATTTTTAAAGAAGGATTTACGGTTTTTATGTCACGTGATTCTTAGCCAAGTTCTACGTCATCATTATTTACCAATACGCTTGAAGGAGACCCGTTTTTGTTACCATCATATGCGATCGTTAACATGTTGCTATCTTTTGATTTTTCACCCAAATCTCCCCACTCTATTTCGTCATCTTCTGTTACTTCTTTTAGTTGTTCGACCCATGTCTTGTAAAAATCATCAAAGTCTGCAATAAGTTGTCGTATTTTTGTCGTTTTTTGTCTTATCACTTCAATTTGTTGCATTTCATTTTCCCGCCGTTTATTAGTATATTGTGCCAAACGAAAACCGACCAATGCTTGAAGGATTCGAGACCTGTTTTTTTTCTTTTGATTATTCGCGTTTTCTGTTAATCAAAATAATATGAAAATTAACTTTTTTCATTTGAAAGTCATTGTCCATATGCTAACACCAGAAAAACAAGACCCTTCACTAACTGTATAAAAATTTAGAAATGATGAACTCCCAAACAATTCCAGCGATAAATATGGCGCCTGTTACTCCTGCCATGATGCCGAGGATTTTCTTGAACGTGCCTTCACGAAGTAAATCTTTAGATGCGAGGAGTTCTTCACTTGTTTCGTCTGTCGGGTTCTACACAACATTTCATAACACTTGATTCGTTTGATTTCAACCATTTTACATTATGAACTATGCATAGTGGTTCGTGCGATTTGTTATGCATGCTATGCATGGATTTTTATGAAAGAGCCACACAAAGTTCTTCCTTTTTCATTGTATTGCAGCTAAACGTCGCGAGAGCCCAGGCCGTACGTATGGCGGGGTCACACCCACAAAATTTTCTTTGGAAATGCAGTCGGTAAAAGTACTGTATTAGTCGGCAGAAAAAAGCATTTTGACGACTAAACAACAACATTGTGGATAGTTTGGATTAAACTTAAATAAGACTTAAGAGACTGAAATTTTGGTACAAATCAAGGGTAACATTAAGAGCAAGACAGTTAGTCGGTAAAACATGCGCAGTTTGAACAGTGTCACAGTACGGTGATATAAAATTGGGGACTAACATGAAGTAGATAATGCATGATAGTTCATGACTGTCTTCATAATATTACTTCTATGTAGTTGAAATAGATTACTGCGATCTTCATTAATAAATTAACGCATTTCAATTAAAAGGTGTCATTTAGTAGAGCTTGAAAATTATTGAGGTTTTGTCCTCCAAATGCTCCAATGTATTCGGTACAAGTTCGTTGGCCATTCTGTTGAAAGGATTATACACACCCCTGATAAACTTTATAAGAACGGCTCTGGCGAGAAAGCCACTCTTCTCTCTTGTACAAACTAATGCTAATGATGGCTTGATGAACCTACCTTCAGAGGGTGAATGTTATCTCGTATGCTTTTGAATATTTTTTGTGGATAGTTTTTGACGTATGCCCTGAAACATTGTGTAAAATTCTCGGAGCCTTTACTTAAAACAAAACCGTAGTTGATTGGCTGTTCCAGACGATCCTTAATTCTCACTG